TGTTGCCAGCTACCCCCCCTGTCAGTGATGGAGCAGGTCCAGTGAACACAAGAACTCCACTCATTCCATATCTGCTAACTACCAAGCCTACATCACTGAGGAATCTTAGAGGAGGGTATATATATATATATATATATATATATATATATATATATATACACACACACACAACAAAAATCTCATATTCTTGTTAGTTGCTGATTAGTCACTACATGGACTATATCCCGTTTTTCTTTTTCCCCTTCTTGCCAGGCTTGTGACCATCAACACACCCCGACAAATTTATTTCGGAAATCCAATATTTCCAACTTGTAAATTATTCTCGTTTATTCTACACCCACAATCTTGGAAAAATCTATCATGTTTTTGCCTTCCATGCATGGTATCTGCACACCATGTCTAACCCTCTTCATACAGCTTCAGGCGGATGAATTTTGAATTCAGTATTGTTCCTTTAGACTGGTGCCCAACCATGGCTAGAGAATCCAGTGTACCCTGCTATTTAAACAGTATCTGTGGGGAGAAGAAATGTGCAAAACTTGTAACAGACTTGACCTGAATTCAAACTCAGCTTGCCAATTCCTCCTGAGCTGCTAATTATTATCCATTAAAATTGTCACTTAAGATATAAGAGAAAAAAAAAAATGCTTTATTCTTGATGCTTTGGCATATAGAAAGAGCAAAATTTGAACTCTTAGCAGACTTCAGTTCAAGAATCTTGAAATATTGCCTTCATTTTGTCCAACTTTGGTTTAACCTGTCTGCTCCCACAGATGAGATAACTCCACCTGATAATGCATAATTATTCTATAAAATAATAATAATAATAAAAAAAACTATTTGTGCCTGTGAACACAAAACTCTTTCTCTTTTTCTGTCTCTTTCTCCTCTTTCTTTCACCCAGAAACATATTTGATTAATACAATATACCATGTTCAAGAATAAGGTTTGATTATTTTCCATGACATTCTACAACTTAAATTTGTCTTTCAACCCTTGATTTTGATAACTTTTAGAATTTTATATAGTGCTGTTTGATAAAAGTGACTCACCTGATTTTTTTATATAAATGTTCTCTTCTCCAATGAAACGAAAGTTGAGCTAAATTCAAAGGATAAGCGAACTAAAATCTGAAGAAGCAACTTTGAAAGATCTTTAAATTTAGCAGTAAGTACTGTCAAGTATCCGTTCAGTATAATGTTCTGGGAATGCTTTTCTTTTCATGGAACTGGTTTCTTAAAACCTATTGAAAAGACCCTCAGGAGCGAGCAATACAAGAGAATTTTAGTCTTATCTGCTCCCTTCCGCTGAAAGGGTGAAAATCGACCCCACCAGGCTCATTTTTATGCAGGATAATGCTCCCTGTCATGAATCAAAATTGATGAAGGAATACTTTGATGAGAAGCAGGTGAGTGTTATGACATGGCTGCTCCAATCTCCTGACCTCAACCCCATAGAAAACTTATGGAGCATTATAAAGTACAGGCTCTCGAGAAAGCAGTTGAGCAACATGCGGATTACCAAGTTTTTCATAACTATATATATATATATATATATATATGGTATTTGTCACAGATACAGAAGATGCAGGTTCATCGATCATGACGGCACAGATGACTTTTTAAACCAGCCTTGCTTTTACAAGCTTAATGCAAATGTTGCACCTGAGAGGGAGATCCCCGAGCTCAAAAGGTATGGCATCAACATGAATTTTCATGTGTTTGGTTAATCCAGTACCTGACTTGCATACTTTATGGTAGTGTGTACAAGAAGGCACAAGGATTGATTGCTGGCTTCTTTCAATGGATCGGGCCTGATGAGACCTAAGGTGACTTTAATGACCCGCCCTTGAAAGAGCAAAATTGCCACATAAACTACATACATGTTGTAAGGTTAAGGTGGAAGGTAGCACTTCAAGGCACTAATCTTTGTTTCCAGAGTTTCCATTTGAATTAGGTCTCCTCCATTATCCAGTATAAAGGATCTTTTGCATGGCACCATTGCAGTTCATTGCCAAATCTGGTCAGATGCTGTTATTGACCTCATCCAACATTGCAAGAACAATGTTTTCACTGTAATTCTGGCAGTTGTGTTATTTAGGTGTAACGCCTTACCAAAGAGCAACCTGTGATTTGATCTCGGGGCTACATACAGTTTTGAACTCGGAATTATCCTTCTCTTAGACTGTACAACTCAGTATGCCCCAACTATCTAACCCATAGAGGTGGAGGTCTGTAGATTGATTCATAATTTAACCAAGGCTATTTGTGCTTAAATGAATATAACAAGCTCAACTGAAATTTGAACTTGGCTCTGTGGTTTCTCATTCTGAGCCACTATCCAACACCCTACCTACACATTCAAATAGAATATTATTATAGCTTCATAGCAGTATTATTCAGTCATCAAAGAATTTTCTTTGATTTTTCCATGATCCAATGTCACCTTTCATAGCACTGTGTATAAGAACAAGAAAAATTTAGGCTGTCCCTTAACATACACTCATGTGTCATCGTAGGGGCTTTGTTTGCACAATTAGCAGGCACAAGACACTATTCTTTGTTTCCAGAGTTTCCAACTGAATTCTTTTTTTTTTTTATCCAAATGTATTTCCTGAAAATTTTACCTATATCCTAGTTAATATTCATTTTACTATGAAAATATTTACTTGTATAATAAAATCTGAGATATGCATGTGTAATTGGTTTATTCCAATGAAACATTTTGACATAGAATGCTAATTAAATAAAGTTTATGCCAAAAAATATCAAAGAAAAAAAACCTCCATCATTTACTTAATGAGCCGAGCAAACTTTTCGGATAACTTGATACCATTACAAAGTGATTAATTAATTGCTATGGAATTTATTAACTTGATGTTCACTATTGATTATCTTTGAGGACAGGTTTATACAAAATGCTTTTAGTAGAAGAGAAATTGATTTGTGCATTTGCAAATGATCCTAACGGAATAGTCTCAGTATGAATATCTTCTAAAAAGAACAGTATTGTTTGCTAGTGTGCTTGCAAGTAGACATTTGTCCTTTTTGGAAGCTTTCCCAAGTAATATGTGCTATGTTTAGTCTGAAAGTAGACACTCTCAGGATTGTACAAATAACATTTAATACAGTTTCGGAATTTAGCTAAGAATGATTCAGAGGAGTGAGCTCAAAAAACCCGCAAATATCTGCTTATTTCATTGTGTGAACTCACTGTCAGCTGCATAGATTACAAATATTAACAAACAGGAGGGTTATTTTATGAGTGTAACAGTTCTCTGTTCAAGTTTGGCCTAATCTGTTACATTCACTTTCTTACAAATGCCCTATGAAAAAGACTGAATTCACATTTAATATCAGCATTTAAAATTCTCTATATTTCATATGTCAAGGCTGGCCAAATCTGCTTAATATAAGAACCACATATGATAAAGTTCAGATGTTTGAGAGCCACAAGACATGAGCACAATTTACACATTGACTGAAAAGCAAGAAGCCAGAAATGAGCTCCACGGTCGAGAAGATTGAGTGAAGAAACTGTTAGCATAGAACTTGCATCTAGCAATTCAAACTGTAAAAGGATGAGACCTTGCTGCCAATCTAGTACTGCGCTTAAATTCATAAAGTCGAGGTACCATAGAGAATAGTTCATCAGAGCAAATTATCATGAAAGTATTTATAGAAAAGGCACAGGGAAGCTGTATTACAGTGGTGGGAATGTAACTGAAGTCAGGTCAGGGACAATAATATTGCAGATTTTTACTGTATCTTATAAAGATACATAGCAGAAATAGAAATTACATAGCTATGGGTTAAATAGTAGAACAGTGTTCTTTAGTCTTGGTTGTCAGCCAATCTAGGACAACCAGTCTAGGATAGGTGTGGCCAAAAACTTGTTTAATGCAAGAGCCACATACAATAAAGTTCAGATGTTTAAGAGCTGCAAGACATGAACAAAATTTACATATATGTTTTTGTTACATACACATTTTGTCACAAAATATTTATGTAAATATTAAGAAATCCATGTATGCAATAACGTTTGTTCATGTACGCAGTTTTTTAAACTGTTAATTTGTATTGGTTTCAGTAATCACAAAGTACACACACACAAATATATATATATATATATATATAAGAATGTCTCTACTGCAGATGGTTAAAACTCCTCCGCAGTGTTATTGGGGGAAACCTTCCAGAGGAATGCTTAAACGCACGAGTATAAACTAGACCAATAGCAGGGCTTCTTAACCAGGGTCCATTTGTAGCATTACTGGAGGGTCTATACAAAAAAAGAAAAAAAACAGTTGGGGGCTCGCAGTAATATTTTAGCGGTCCATAGAGCAATTTCACTTTGGAACAGTTTTTACAACTGAGAACTGGATTTTCTACAGTAATCTACACCATATTAAAATACAAAAATTAGAAAAACAACTCTAAAACTAGCAGAGAATGAGATCAAGGAATGTAAGTCAGTATCCCTTTTACTTGACTGGATGTTTTGATTGTTAAAGTTGAGAGAAATATATATATATATATATATATATATATATATATATGTATGTATATATGTGTGTGTGTTCCTAAACTTATATATTAGTAAAAAAAATAAAATATATATATGTATACAACTAAATTTGGCATGAAATGACCTATAGTGGTTGATATCCTATAAAACCTAACCAACCAACCTATCCAAAGGAAATTTCTCAAGAATTGACATGTTATAAAACCAATCAACCAATTATTAGTTAATAAATTGTCAACAGAAATTGTAAAAAAAGATACTGATCTGTCTCTTAAGTAAACGTTATTTCCCAAGAGAATCATTTACATCTTTTCTCTCTTCAGGTGGAGGACGAAACAATATTGCACAATATCCCTTACATGGGAGATGATGTGTTGGATCAAGACGGAACCTTTATTGAGGAGCTTTTAAAAAATTATGATGGTAAAGTACATGGAGATCGAGACTCTAAATTTATCAACGATGATCTGTTCATGGAGTTAGTCAATGCTTTGTGGGCCAATTACAATGATGCTGACCCTGAACAATCTGAGTTGTCATCACCCTCTTCTGATGGCATCAAAGAACCAAAAGGTAAATCAGAAGCGATTTCTTTATTTCATTTTGAGCATGCGATACACTTTTTCAATTATGACAAAAAAAAAAAAAAATGTTTTTATGAGAGTCGTTAACCTGTTCCAAAATAATTTTATTTTTAAATTTTACTAGTTTTAAGGTCACTCATATTTCCAACCATTATTGTTGTAAGCTAAAAAGTTGTTTCTTCCTTGTCCAGACATTAATATGAGAAATTACCTTGTCTTAACACTGACTGGTTACAATCACTCATTAGTCTCAGTGTCACTAATTTTTCACTTAGTGAGAAGGTCAGCTTTTAATATTTTGTCTTCAAGTTTGTATGCCTCCCTCACCTTCTTGTGCATGTGCGTACACACACACACACACACACGTATGTAACTCGGACTTAGTTTAGGACTTGTTTAGATTTCTATCTGTTATTGCTACACTTCTGTCTTAGTTTAGTTTGCTTTTTAGAGACATTGAGCACTTTAGGCTTTTGTGTAAGTAAATGTCTGTCTCTCTTATCTTTTTCTCTATCACTTTCCTGTTGGTTTATTGATATATAAAGGGTGTTCCAATAACTTGGACCAGTTTTAAATGTGAATTAAGTTTAAGCCTCTAATGATTTTTTTTCTTTCAGATTTAACAACTTAAGTCTTTGGCAATTTCAACCATGGAAAGATTAACAATGTGTTAGTTTCAAGAGTGAAATTGGAAAAATTGTTCGTAAATTCAAACAAACTTGGTCAGTGACAGATGTGAAAACACCATTACATGCTTGTTTACGCCGTTCAGCTGAAAACATTGCTGCAGTGCATGAGAATGTGGTCGAAAATCCGGACACCTATTCGTTGTCGTGCACAGGAACTGAATCTCTCCACAACAACATTACGTCATTTCCAATTGCACTCTCGGTTGGTTGATTTTGTTGACCAAAAAATCACAAAGTGCATGAAATGCATTTCTGTTTGCACGACCATTTTCATAATGGGCTTTGATAACTTAAACATGTTTGATTGTTAATATTTCCATGGCTGAAATTGCAAAAGACTGATGTTGTTAAATCTGAAAGAAAAAGAAAAAAATCATTAGACGCTTTAACTTAATTCACATTTAAAATCGGTCCTAGTTATTGGAACACACTTTATATCAAATTCTTGTGCATGTTGAGTATATCAGCAGAAGCATTTACTTGAAATAAATAATACCAAAAAACTAAAAAAAACCACTAACTGAAATTATGTACAATCTGTGGAGAAATTGTCAGAATTTTTTTTCTTTTAATTTTTTTCCAGAAGAAATTGAAAGTCCAAGAAAATCTCTTCCTGCTGATATTATTTTTGAATCCATTTCTAGTATGTTTCCTGATAAAGGCACACCAGACGAGCTGAAAGACAAGTAGGTGAACTTTGAACTTTTATCTGGTGAATTCTACAATTTGACAAAAAAAAAAAAAAAAAATTGACTGCCATATTGAAGTATTTTTTGAATTGCATTTTTATTTCTTTTCTATATAAATAATCAACTGTTTTTCTTTCCACAATTAACTCTTATTATTGCATGAAATAAAGAATTCTGCTTTTAAATCATTAAAAGTAAAAATCTCTCAAGAAAACTAGCATCAAACTATATATATTAATGGATATGCCACTTGGCTTGCCTTCTTGCCTAGGTTGGATATTCAAATCATACAATTAAGACTTAGTGGCTGTGTGTGTTTTGGGACATAAAGTATTCAGTATGTGTATATGAATAAGTAGAATACTTTCCCTTATCGTTCAAGACAAACTTCAAATGTTAGAAGAAACAAGTAGATTATTATTATAGATTCATAGCATCATTATTCAGTCAAGAATGAATTTTCTTTGGATTTCCATGTTTTAATGTCATTTTCCAGATTGTGTATTCTGTCAAAAGAACAAAAACATTTCATACAGAAACAGGTAGAATAGATTCATAGCATTATTATTCAGTCGAGAAAAAAATGTTTCTGGTTTCATGATCTGATCTCACCTTTCATATTGTGTTACATCATAAAAGAACAAACATTTCATGCAAGAAACAAGTAGAATATTATAGATTCATAGCATCATTATTCAGTCAAGAAAAATTTTCTTTGGATTTCCATGTTTCAATGTCATCTTTCACATTATGTATTCTGTCATAAAAGCAACAAAAACATTTTGTACAAAAAAACAGGTAGAATATTATAGATTCATAGCATCATTATTCAGTCAAGAAAATATTTTCTTTGGTTTTCCATGATCCAATGTTACCTTTCATAGCACTGTGTATTCTATCATAAAAGAACAAAAAAAAAATTTGTACAAGAAACAACTAGGTCATCTCTTAACATGTACCCATGTGTCATCATAGTGGTTTTGCTTACACAGCAAACACAAAGTACTAATCTTTGTTTCCACAGTTTCCATCTGAATTAGTTCTCCTCCATTGTCCAGTATGAAGGATCTTTTACATGGCACCATTGCAGTTCATTGCCAAATCTGGTCAGATGCTGTTATTGACCTCATCCAACATTGCAAGAACAATGTTTTCACTGTAATTCTGGCAGTTGTGTTATTTAGGTGTAACGCCTTACCAAAGAGCAACCTGTGATTTGGTCTCGGGGGCTACATATGGACTGCACAACCAATTATGCCCCCACTATTTAACCCATAGTTGTGGGGCAGCAGATTGATTCATAATTTAACCAAGTCTATTTGTGCTTAAGTGTAATGGCTCAGAAAGAGTCGTGAAATCCATTTCCTTGCGGCGGATGAAGAAGAAAAAACAGCTGGCTTGCCGATGAGTACTGCACTTTTTGAACCCCCCCCTCCTCCAATCATCTTCATCATTGTTTTTTCTACAGTCACTGGATCTAACCATTAAACATGGCATGTGGAACTAGAGCAGTCTACTCCAGTGAACGAAATAAAGGGTTCAGTTCGGCATTCCAACCACCTGAAGAAGGCCAGAGCAGATCCTGGCTGAAATTGTGATAAATATGGCGAAAGAGATGAGGACAATAGTCCGAATAATGTAAATAGAGTACATAATACCTCATCTCAGAAATATAGACAGATACTGAAGGATCGGATAAATATGGCGACAAAGATGAGGACAATAGTCTGAATAATGTAAATAGAGTACATAATACCTAATCTCAGAAATGTAGATAATCCTATGTTCTTATTTTGTGAATTTTAAAGGATTTATGCTCTTGAAGTGAGCCTCTTTTCTAAACCAGTTAATTTCTTTAATCCCTTTCAGATTCATTTCTTTTTTTTCTTTAATTTTGGGATATTCTTTCTTTGCCAGATATATGGATCTCATGGAAACAAGAGACCCTAACAATCTGCCGCCTGAGTGTACCCCCAACATTGATGGTCCAAATGCCCGTTCTGTTCCTAGGGAACAAACTATGCACTCATTCCATACGCTCTTCTGCCGAAGATGCTTCAAGTATGATTGTTTCCTACATCGTAAGTGTAACTTTTTTTTTCTTTTAACCGTTTCCACGCTGCAGGTGAAAATTGTCACCATAGAATTCTCTTCTTTTGCTGCTCTAGGCACATTCTGTCGCCTTGAGATGGTTGCTTTATAAATAAACACTTGTCAACTGTTATTTCTGATATTTCAAGCTGGAAATTGCCTACTACTGCTTTTGAACGAGGCTAAACTTGTTTTCCAAAGCCATTTTGAATTCTTCTAGACTCTACACAAGGTGTAACACTGATTAAACCCACATTAATTCTTTTGCAATTTTTGTAAAGTTTTTGTTGGATATTAACATAGCAATTTTTGTAAACAAAATTGTTAATATCCAACAAAAACTTTATTCAAGAGTTTTTCTTTGATTAGGACTCCCATGATAATTTTGAAGGTTTTACTCAAGTGGATATTGACAGTGAAGTGGTCGAAGATGATGACCATGTTAGTGACATGAAGGAAAGCAATGATGACCACTAGTGGCTACTATCATCCATGGCTGACTAATTTTATGAAAGCTACTGGCAACCATCTATATAACTGATAGCCTTTAATGTAAACTATTTTTTCTATTTACAAACAATGAAATAACTTTATTCTTCAACAAGACAAATAAATATGCTTGTCGGATGAAAGAAAGAGCAAACAAATGCTTGTCTTCTCTTAATGTAAACATAAGGAAACATCACTTTTTTGACAAAATGAAAGCTTTCTTAGCGATTTTGCTTCTTATTGCACCCCCCCCCAGAACTCCACAAGATCTAATAAATGTTAAAGTACTTTGAATTATCTATTTTTCATTGTATTTGTTTTTTTATTTCGTGTTTCTTTTTTTTTTAATTTGCATTTCAATTTTTTTTGTTTTCAACATCAAAACATACATGTGAAACAATGCATTACATTAAAATATTACTTTCATTTACTTATTAGTGTACATAAATTAAAATCTATATATACAAAGAAAGTTATAACAATTTTAAAACAGTATGGTGGAGTAATGGATAGCGGCTTGAAATGAGGAATCAGAGAGCTGAGTTCGAATTCCAGTTGAATCCATTACATTCACGTGCTAATACCCTTTGGAAAGGTATGAATCCTCTTCTTAACACCCCCTCCCCCTGCTATGAGTAAATAGCAGGACAAATTTGGTTCTATAACCTTGGATGGCAACTGGTCTACTGCAGAAAGAAATGGCAACCTACTGTGAGGAAAAAATCTGCATTGTGTCATGTATCGAAAGATACATGATCACCTAAACGTGTATTATGCATGGCACGTAACTGTATATGCACTGCTACCTTTAATTTTAGGTTTTAATATTTGGAAAATAGTGATTATTATTGACTATAATAAACCCGGTAGGTTTTATAACTTTCTTGAGATTGTCTCAGAGTAATGGATAGAGGCTTGGTTTGAGGAATTGGAGAGCAGTTCAAATTCCAGTCAAATCCCTTACATTGACTTATGTGCTAATACCCTTGGGAAAGGTATGAATCTTCTTCTTCTCCCCTAACTATGGGTAAATAGCAGGACAGACTGGGTTCTATAGCCTTGAATGGCAATGGGTCTATTGCAGAAAGGAATGGCAACCTACTGCTGGAAAAAAAGACTGTATCGTCAGTCATGTATTGAAAGATACATGATCACCTAAATGTGTATTATGCATGGCACATAGCTGAACTGAGGTGTTCATGTTTTTGCATCCTCAAAAAAAAAAAAAAAAAATGCACTGGCAGGGGGGGATCAATTCTAGAAAGAAATTAGCATGGTAAATATTAAGCATTTATCTTTTTCTGTCTATGGGCTGAATCTTGTTCGATCAGCAATCACTACTTAGTTGGGGGAAGCACTTGGGAACACAAGTATTGTAAGCAACCCCCTACAATCTTTTTTGGCTTTTAATAACCCACAAAGGGTTAATAAACCATAAAAAAATAAATCAATCAATAATTCAGAATATGTGTGCCAAGCTTATGGTCAAATGATACTGAAAACACCAGTTTTCATTCGATCATTGAAGTAAGCAGCATCGAGTCAGTTAGTACTTTGATGGGAAACCATAAGTGAACATCAGGTATTGTAATGTAAAATTTTTTTTGGTTTTTAATAACCCACAACAGGTTGATAAGCTATATATAATAAAAAAAAAAAATCTGTTTGTGTGTGAACTTCAGCACACATTTGTAAATTTTTATCCCTGTATCGCCATATGCATTTCTGCACACTTGTTTCTTAACAATTGTGTACATGTTAGGATATATTTTTGTATACAGTGGTTATCTCGGTTCACGAATTTAATTCATTCCTGTAGGCTGTTTGTAACCCGAAATGTTCGTAAATCGAAACTATTTTTCTAGTAGAAATCAATGTAGAGAAAAAAGTCAAAAATAAAATTGGAAAAGAAAAGCATGCCACAACACACGAATGTATACAACACTGCAGTTGACTCAAATTATTCCGTTTGGATTAACTCGGTTTGGCAATGTTCGAGAACTGAAATTTTGTATGATAACTGAGGCATTTTCATCTCAAATTTTCTGTTTGAAAACTGATTTGTTTGATATGCGAGACATTTGGGAACTGAGGTTGCTCTGTGTTTGTGCACAGTCTCTGCATATTTGATGTTTCATCCTTCAACGTGACTTCTTCAGATTAATGATTAGTCTGAAGAACTCTTTCAAAGGAGGTTTACAGTGACCTCACTTTGAAACACTGGTTCCTGTACAATCACTGAAATTAAGCAATGTTGAGCCTGGTCAGTACTTAGTTGGGTGACCACTTAAGAATACTAGGCGCTTTAAGCTTGGCTGTACATGTGGTATAATAGATAATGGCTCTGAATTGGAAATTGGAGAGCAGAGTTCCAATTCCAGTTGGGTTCATTATATACACTTACTCACAAATACCCTTGGGAAAGGAATGAATCCACCTCTTCTTCCCCCCACCTGTTGGTTAATGGAATTCATCCATGCAGTAAAAAAATAGCCCCACCTAATATTCATCATATGTTATTGAATGCTTACAGAGACTGTGTTTCAGCAGTGTTGACAATAATGTATGGATTGCTTCTGCTTGTACAGATTTTTTTCACAATAGGAGCATACAGGCTCTTTTTTAGCAGTGATGAAAATGCCAATAACTATGTTTTCTGACTGAAAACTTGCTCTCTCGCTCTCTCTCCCCGATATTATGCTTACAATATCTGTCAAAATCTTTATCTTGTATCCAAGAATTTAATTTCTTTGCTGATTACTTCCTTTATGATGAAGTCTTGTATCATTAAAACCATTATCTCAACAAAAAAATGCCGCTAAACAAAAATAACCAAGCACCCTTTTGAAGAATTTAAAAAAAAAAAAATACCATTTGAGTTTTTCCCATTTTGTCATTGAGTTACCCACCTTTAGGCTAACATGTATCCAATTTGTTTTACACACCTAGCTTACATGAACTATTTAAAAAAAAAGAAAAGAAAAGAAAAGACAGCCATATTGAAGTCATTTTGCAGTTGCATTGGTGATACTTTCTGCATGAGTAATCTAGGATAACTTGAAATCTCTTTTTCTTTCTTTACAATGAAGTTCACAAGGCCCAAGAGCCAATCAAGGCAGTGTTACAGAGTAAGATGCACCACCCCATGCAAGGTGATAATTACAGGTAGCTTTTGAAGGACATCTTTCATTCTGCCAATGCACTTTTGGATCTCTATACTATGCAGTTTTTTTTTTTTTTTTTTTTTTTTTTTACAATGATGTTTATCCTGTACAAGCCCCAAGTGCCACTTGAGAGGGTTATAGAGTAAGAGGCACCACCCTCAAGTCAGGTGATAATGCCATCAAGACGAAGGGGGCCACTGGAATTAAAAGAGAAGGAAAATGGGAACTCAATCCTAAACAAGAAACAAAGGATAAACATCTACTCCTGTTCAAAAATGTTTAATTATTGCTTTTTGGGACTATTTTAATAGAACAGTCACCTTTTATATAAAAAAAAAAAAAAAAAATGGAGTGGGGTAATTTAGGGAGATTACTCCTTCCTTATGCCACAGCAAATGCCAAAAATGGGAAAATACTTTTCTTTTTTTTTTTTATATCAATTTAGAAGGGGGGTCTTGTTTATAATATTGATACAGTATCAAACTTATCCCTGACTTTTGCAGTTATTGTTTTGCATCCAAAAACACTTTTTACTGCACTGGTGGTACAGGTTGCGAAAAGATTACTCTTAAATAATGAGCAAAATTATACATAAATTAATAAAGCTGTGTAAATGTTCATTCTTAAGATAAATAATTGTGAACCTCAAATGTTTGAACTGGAGTTTAAGTCCCCAAAAATCCCATCCCAAAATTTTTAAAAAAATTGGTTTTAAATTTCGGAAAATTTTAAAAATATGCTGATATCAATGACATTAGCACATTTTTAAAGTTGGCATTTGTAAATAACAGCTAAGTGACTTCGCCTAAGGCCAGATAACTCTCTAAAAGTCAGGGATCGATTTCATACTTTATTAATATTATAAAGAGGACCCCAGTTCTAAATTGATAACAAATCTTTATTTTTTGATTCTGACAAGTCTGAAAAAGCCTAAGAAAGGTCTAAAGAATGCTTATCCACAATTTTTCATATTTCTTATGAGTGGACCACTATATTTAAGAAGTGCCTATTATTTTTTATTTAATGATAAATTGTATAAAACATTTTCTGTCTGAATTCCTGAGATGTTATTATTTACACTATTTATATTTGGACTACTGTCCTTGTCTTTGTTGTTGTTATCACAATGACCTTCTTCAGGTATAAATTGATCTGGGTAGTCTACAGGGAATTCTGAACTGAACCCTTTATTTAACCTATGGTGGTAAACTGTTCTCATTCCACTACTATATTGTTTAGTTCTTACTTTTATTTAGCAGTGCTTGGTTAATGCCTGTTTTCACTGAGCGCAAGTACATACTAGCCGGCATGGAAATTGAACTCCCAATCACTCTCATCAAATTTTAAATGCTTCAATCCACTCAGAAATTGTCTCATAGGACAATTTTTTAGAGTTAATTTGGAGCCATAAACCTAACCTGACTACTGATTAGGCTTGCAAGTACTGCTGCCCATCATGTTTTGATTGCTGCTACAGTTGAAAACCTGCTGTCATTTGTCTTTTTTCTTTATTAGCCACTCCCATATTGTATTTATTTCTATGCTAGGCCTACTCATGAGGTCCTAGTAGATAAGTGTGTCTGTCAGCTGGTTCACACTCCTCCCTAGTCTTTTGAACTGGAGTAGAGGTTTATCCCTTGTTTACTGTTTAAGATTGGGTTTCTGCTTTGAATTGATTAAAAAAAATAATAAAAAATGTGCAGTTTCTTTCAGACGCCTCTCTGATGTTCTTCCTTTTCCAGAATTTTCTCTTCATTTCTGATAACTGCAACAAAGATGAGGACAATAGTTTGCATATAAATAGGGTATTAACTCTATTTATATCTGGTTCTCAAGACTGGTGAGCTGTCGTTGGTGATTTACTTGTGTAATAAAAAAGTCTACTTTTGTAAACCTTTAACAGGCTGCAGGCAAAAATTATCACCGTAGAATTCTCTCCCTTTGCTTCCCTAGTTGCATTCTGTCACCTTTCGATGGTTGCTATATATAAACAATTGTCAACTGGTATTTTTAGCTGGAAATTGCCTACTATTGCTTTGGAACAAGGTTAAACTTCCATTTTTCAATGCCATTTCAAATTCTTCTAGACTCAACAAGAGGTGTAACACTGATTAAACCCACATTGATTGTTTCGCAAATTTTTGTAAGCAAAAATGGCTGCATCTATATCCAACAAAGCCTTTATTCAGGAGTTTTCCTTTGATTAGGACTCTGATGATGATTTTGAAGGCTTTACTCGAGGATATTGATGGTGAAGTGGTCAAAGATGATAACCATGTTAGTGACATGGAAGAAAGTGATGATGACCCCTAGTGGCTACTATCATCCATGCCTGACTAATTTTATGGAAACTGATGGCAGCCATCGATATACCTGATAGCCTTTCTGAAGGTGCATTATTTTGTATATAAATAAACGACAGAATAATAACTTTATTTGTCAATGAGGCAAATAGGAGTCACGTGAAAGAAAGAGCAAACAAATGCTCATGTCTTCTTGTATGTAAAAACTTCACATTTTTGATGAAATGAAAACCTTCTTAGCAATTTTACTTCTTATTGCACACCCAGAACTCAAAAGGAGTAATAAAAGTTAAAGTATGTTTAATTATGTACAGTGTAACCCGGATATAAGAGAGATTTTCTCTGGTCCCAAAGTGTTCCCATACTTGTCTAAACAAAATAGACCAAACCCGGATATAAGAGACTTCTTCTCCGGTCCTGACAACTCTCTTATATCCGGGTTACACTGTATTTCTTAATGTATTTGTTTTTTATTTCACATTTCAATTTTTTTTTTTTTTTTTCCCAATATCAAGACATGCATGCAAAACATAATGCATTACAAAATGCATTGCGTTAAAACATTACTCATTCATTTATTCTTTTATTACTATACAAAAATTAAACTCTATACACACAATACAAAGAAAGTTATGACAATTTTAAAACAGTCTGTGTTTGTTTTTGCACACTTAAAATTAAAAATGCAGTGGCAGGGGGAAAAATTCTAGAAAGAAATTTGCATAGTAACTGTGAAGCAATCATTTTCACTTACCTCGACCCAACCCAACAATCTTGTAAAGAAGTTTTTGGCAGAGGATGTTGTGCATTGTTTTTTTATTTTTTTTTTTATTTATTTATTTTTTTTTTTCCCGAAGCGTGTTTATCATATTCAGGTATCATATGTACTGTGTTGTAAATAGGAAAATTTGACACATACCTAGAAAATAAGTAGTTTATTCCAATAATAATAATATCGTAACCTGTTGAAAACATAGACTAATGCAATAAACAGTTAATCGTTTACTCCTCTTGCTCAGTAAGAGAGAGTGCTATTTAAATAGTCTTAGACCAGTCCATCTTGTGGGGGTGTTCAGCTACTCCACAACAGTATTATAATCCAAATAAGATGCTGATTATTTTGATTCATTCATTTTATTTTCTCCTATGCTCTCCTAATTTTATACACTTCATAACATAAATATTTTGGGGCTTTTTCAGCTTACCATCCCACTCCAAGTATGCTAACCCGGAAGATGCCTGAAAAGAAACAAGAAGCAGAACCATGCGGAGAAAATTGCTTCATGCATCTTGTAAGTAATCCGCTTCTTTGTTTTTAAACAGTTTTTCCAACATGCACACATTTATGCATTAAATAAGAAAAAATTATAAAAAAAAAGAGAGAGAGAAAAACAGAATATATCTATATTTTCAAAACTAAAGACTCCAGAATATTTGAGAAAAATTAGCCTTAAAAGATGAGTTCTGTCTATGACACTAGGAATAACACTGTTACATTACCTTTGACACTCAGAGCTGAAAGAGAGCAAAAAAGAAGGAAAAGGAATAATGAGAGAGTATAAGGAGATAAAAGCATGAAAAGGAGACATTCTACACATGTGCACATACACACATGTACAGTGTGTGTGTGTATATATATATATATATATATATATATATATATATATATTTTTTTGAACAATAAAAAATTAAAATCTTCAGGCACACTGGGTTTGTAGATTAATATTCTTTCGTTTTTTATTATTATTTCATTTAGATTCCTCGACTAGTTTTGGCCAACATGGCCATCACCAGGAGAAGAAATATTTCTGTTTGCTGGTAGCAGTGAACTACAGAAATGTATGTCTTGATGGAGAAAATGAACTTTTGTCTGTAGTTTTCATTTGTTTGTTTTATTTTTTTAATCTTTTTAATATGAATTTTTTAACATTCCTTGCGTTGGTCAAACATTCTCTTAAGTTGTTATTTGAGATAAGAGCTGGATGGGTCCATGCTGCTCTGAATTCCCCTGGTCAGTTTGACAGTTCTATTCATTCCTCTCTCTCTCTCTCTCTCTATATATATATATATATATATATATATATATATATATATATAGAGAGAGAGAGAGATAGAAAAAAACTTGGCCCAGAATCAAATAAATTATTTTTTAACTTAATATGAGAAAATCAGGAGACAATTACTGAAAACTTGTGACGAGTAGACTGAATAGTTATAAAAAGGTTTGTCCATGAGACTCTGGAGTCGGGGTGCTGGATATAACATCAACCAGCTAAGTTATGTATGTATATATATATATATATATATATATATATATATATATATATGTGTGTGTGTGTGTGTGTTAGATACCATTGCTATGAACCCTAATGGATATGTTCAATCCTGATATGTTGGACACTATTGTAAGTGGGGGTAATAGGCTTTCTATGTAGTCTACCCCTAGCAGTGGTTTACCTACTTCATGCTGCTGGCGAGTATTGTATTTTGTTGATGTTATAAAGATTACCATTTCATTTCCACCTTCCATTTTGGTTATTCCTCATTCAGTAACCATTCCTAGGTTACAACACTATCTGTTATATACCATACCTATGAACACTAATGTGTATGTATCAATCCTCATAAATACATTGGACATTATTGTAAGTGTGTGTGTGTGTGTGGGGGGGGGTAATATGCTGTCTAAGTAGTCCACCACTAGCAGTTGTTTACCTACTTCATGCCGCTGGCGAGTATTGTATTTTGTTGATGTTATAAGGATTACCATTTCATTTCCAACCCCCGTTTTGTTTATTCCTCATTCAATAACCTTTTCCAGGTTACAATATATATATATATATATATATATATATATATATATATATATATATATATAGGGATCTGACAATGGATAAAGAACAAATAGAAAACGTTTATAAATCTAACATGTTTCACTTTTATTAAAGCTTCATCAGAGAATGAGATGTGTACAAAGAAAGAAAATCTGGTATTTTTATTTTTGTGCTGTTTGATTTTCATGAGTTAAGAAGTCTTCACGTGCATTTGGCTTGTTAAACAACCTTAGTACAAGTTATGGCAGTCTGAGCTCAAAGAGAGAAGATGCATCCTTTTGAAGCTCTGAGAAATAAGATTGCAATCCTGACTGAAAAACTTGTAAATGTTGCTTGATGTCAGTAAGTATACATTATCATCCGAATCCCATATAGACAAACTTATATACATAAAGAAAGATTAACATTTCTTTTTCAGTCATTTTATTTTATTTTTTTGTTTTAAATATATTTTCCACATCTTTCCTCTGCCTCTAGACTGGCTACAAAGAACAAAGCAACGGTGATCAGCATGATGGCACTAAATGTGATGGTAAGGCTGGCCCTGAGAGGGCAGAGCGAGCAAAGACCTCTCCTCCGCGCACTGTTGGGAGAAAAAGGAAAAATGGTATCACTGCCACAGCAAATGGTGAAGATAGTGAAAAAAGTAATGATGCTGGTATGTATATTGTAGAATTTGTACACACACACACATATATATATATATATATATATATATATATATATATATATATATATATATATACATACGATTCTATCATTATTGCTAGCATTAATTCCTGACCACTTACTTCCTAATTTCCAATGCATTCCTATATTAAAATAATTACCAGTGCATTTCCATTATACATATAATAGCCCTATTCTATCAGTAATGCTTGCATTCATTCCTGACCACTGACAATCCTTTTCTTCCTGATTTTCAATGCATTCCTATAATGAAATCATATCTAATTCTCCTTATCCTTATAATCTTCACTTCTTACTATCTCCTCTTATATTCATATCAAACACTTCATTCAGTAACCCTCAGCACTTAGTTCCTCTTGAGCCTTGTAGTTGGTAAAAGCAATTGTTTTTTTATCTAGTTGACAATTGATTTTTTTAATTTTTTCCAATAATTGGTTGCACATCCAGATCCATGATTTCACTCTGGATCTTCAACAACGTGAAAACAAATTGGAAAAACAAGAAAAAATGAAACAGACTTTGCTAGTTGAATAAAATTGAACGTAAGAAAGTTTACAAGCTGATAAAAAGGAAAAGTTTTGTTTTTTATGAAAATGGCCTGTCTTTTCAAAATAAAGACACTTTACAGTTTTTTTTAAATTTTTTATTATACATGAATTACCGTGACGTTTTAGAAAAGACAATTGGAATGCTTTCCTGTTGCTTTCTCTTGGACTGCTTGTCATTCAAGGTGTGACTCCATTTGTGGCAAAATTGTGGTTATGTTCTCCAATCACTCATTACATACTGTGATGACTAAAACAATTACGACTGAGCAGTGAGTACGATCCTCACTTGGTGCCCCATACTTTTGTCCTTGTGCCACATCTGAGCTATACTTGGAAAATCACTACACACTCAACTCTCTATGTGCACAGGTTTGTTTTCTCGGCTGTGATCGCTTTCAACAAAAAAAAAAAAAAAAAATGATGAAAATTGTTTTTCAAGATTCTCTGGTTGGGAAATAGCAACAATACAATTTCTCACTTAAATGTGGGATCCTTCTTTCAGCTTTGAGAGGTTGGCTGCTATCTTCCAAATTTCACTGTCCTTGGTGACTCCTGATTCCTCACTACCAGTCCTTCTGTCACTGGCTGCTGGGCAGCTCCAATTTCTCTGGTCACCTACTTACTTCTCTCACAGCTGGACCCACTTTTCTTTTTTCTTTTTTTTTTTTCTTTTTTTTAACTTCCTGCCTCTATCTGCTTATATAGATAATCCTGAGGTCCCACCCCTCCATCCACTTGTCTTTCCGGAAAATTTTGGACCCCCCCAAAAAAAAAAAAAACGACATGAGTGGTCAAATCTTCTTCTTTTATGATTATCTAAAATCATTTATAAAATTTTTATGTTTCCCAATCCAAAGGTGAACTGGAGAGACTGACCTTTTAAATACTAACCCTTAAGTTCACTCAAGATGGATGGGAGACAAAATTCTTAGGAAACTCCACTAGCTGAGTGGACTTAAAATCAAGGAATTTATCTCCTTCTCTTCTAAGGATGTGTGAGAAATCATATTGTTACACAGACAAGAGAAGCTAGTTTATATTCCTGTCTAACCCATAGTTGGTGGAAGAAGAGATTAATTCATATCCTTCCCAAGTTGCTAGAACGAAAGTGAATGCAACAGGTAAGGCTGAAATTTTAACTTGGCTTGCAGATTTTTTTTTTCATTCCAATGTTATGCTACTCATGCCTGTTGTAAAAATAACACAATGTTATCATTGTTTTTTATGCATTATAGATCATATTATGTTTTACCATAATTTCCCATCTATAATACACGTTTTTTTCTTTTAAAAAAAAAAAGAAAAATCTGGGGTGCATATTATGCACAGCTTCAAAAAAATCTTTTAAAAAAAATGTCGTTTTATAGGCTGATTTTAGCTGTGAAATGACTACTCATCACATATGACAATTTGACTCTAACATTCGGCGATTGCAACCCCAGAAGAATGTCAAATACAATCATATGTACCGATCAATACTTAGAAATGTAAAATAAAATTAGAATAATATTATTCTATGTTCAAAAACCATTTTTTAACAAGTGTAGAAAATGCTAGCCGTAATGAAATTGGAGAGGTACAATTTATAGGGTTTGATGACCAAACAATGGGTGTGTATTATGCATGAGTAGAAGCATTTTCCCACACTTCAGCACAATTTTAGGGGTGCATATTATGGATGAAGGTGTATTATACTTGGGGAAATTATGGTATTTATTTTTATTTTTTTTCAGTCCTTTCAACCCAAGCAAGGCAATAAAAATGCAAGTGATTAATGATTGTGAAAAAATGTAAGAAAAAGAAAAAAAAACATTAAGGAAAGGAAGAAATGAACAGGAATTAAGAAGTGAGAAGATAATGATTGACATTGCATTTAAATTCTTGAAAATCTAAATTGACAGGAAAGCAAGAAGCTGGAAGAGAGGTTCCACAAGCAAGAAGTACTATAGAGGAAACTTGTATGAATTTAATCTCACTGGATTAAGTGGCTTGACATTGTAATATATTTCAGATGATTGTACTAGGCACAGGTTTGGTTGGTTTGTTTTTTTTTTTTTTTTTTTTTTGCACAAACTGTCTCAAGTCTCTTCCCTTTACAGACTCAGAAATAATGTTTCCTATCCGTAAGAAGCCAACCAGTGAAGAATGGAACGGTGCCGAAGAGTCTTTATTCCGCGTTCTCCATGATGTTTACCGTAATAACTATTGTGTTATTGCAAAATTGATAGGCACTAAGAATTGTAAACAGGTGAGTCATCCTTCCCACCCCAAGTGTTTTATATATCTAAAACTTCTAGATTTAACCATTACCATGCTGGAGGTGAAAATTGTCACCATAAAATTCTCTCGTTGCAGCTTTAGGTGCATTATGTTGCCTTGAGACAGTTTCTAGAAATAAGCATTTGTCAACTGTTATTTCTGGTATTTTAAGCTGGAATTCACCTACTACTGCTTTTCCATTTTCTGACACCAGTTTAAATTTTTCTAGACTATACACAAAGTGTAACATCAATTAAGCCCATGTTCTTCTTTTTTCTTTTTTTTTTTTTTTGTTAACCAAAAATGGCTACATCAATTTCCAATGAAGCCTTTATTCTTTTCTTTTGCTTTGGACTCTGGGGATGATTTTGAAGGCTTTACCCAAGTGTATATTGATGGTGAAGTGGTCGAAAATGATGACCATCAATGTACCTGACAGCCTTTCTGAAGGTGAATTATTTCATTTATTTATAAACAACAAAATAGCTTTATTTGTTAACGAGACAAACAAATATGCTAGTCAGGTGAAAGAATGACCAAAAAAAATGCCGGTATCTATTTGTGTGTAAACACTAGGACATCACTTTTGACAAAATGAAAGCTTTCTTAACCATTTTGCTTCTTATTGCACCCCCCAGAACTCCACAAGGAGTAATAAAAGTTAAAGTAGGTTAAATTGTTAATGCATTTGTTTTTTTTTTTTTTTTTTTTTTGGATTTCATTTTTTTTATTTTTTTTCAATGTCAAGACAGGCATGCAAAACGTAATGCATTGCATCAAAATATTACTCATCCATTCTTTTTATTAGCATACAAAACATAAAATCTATGCACAGCCATTTGAAAATAGTAGGTGGTCATGTATTTGAGGACACCTTCCAAAAAAAAAAAAAAAAATACTGTGACGGGGGGGGGCAATTCTGGAAATAAATTAGCCTTAGCATGGTAAAGGTTGAAAGTGTAACATTTGAAGAAGGCGGGTGGGGGCAGCTTTTTTTATCCACTTTCATTTATTGTTCTGAACATGAGAAATTGATTTTGACATTAACCCTTTCTCTCGATTTCATTACTGTACTCCAAGTGTTGGTTATAATGTATGTGTATCATAATCGACTATGGTGATTGGATGATATTAATCAAGGCCCCTTAATGGTGTTGATTATGGTTATTTTAGCCATGTGCTAATGATTTGTATTGTTTACTGCAAGTCCTATATGCATGATTTGCATTTGTATTGGCAGCAGCATCATCCAGCTATTGATCAACATGAACTTTCAAGTGGTTTTTCAGTTCTCTTGCAAACCTTGATTTGCCGCAAGTGGAACAGGGTATATATGGTTAACATAATCCCCAATGAAATTCTCATAAACAACTTCTCATTTTTTTTTTTGTGTGTGTGTGTATATATATATATATATATATATATATATATATATATATATATATATATATAAATTCATGAATCATTCATACAAAAACAAATCTGTTAGTCTGAATCGTCTTTAAGAAGTGAGAGTGGAACCTACCTCATCCCATAATCCTCACTCCTGCTCCATATGCAGCCTCCTTTGAAAATCACATGCAGGTCTTAAGTGCCACTTAAGATCATCGCACAAAACTCATAACTGAATCAATCGGTTGTCAGATACTCATATGTCAAAACCAATGGGAGAGAGTGTGTGTGTATATATATATATATATATATATATATATATATATATATATATATATATATTTCAATTAAAGGTGCAAATTATAATTTATAAATTCATGAATCATTCATACAAAAAACAAATATAGAGCTTAATGATTTAAATGGCGAGAATACATCTTCGCAAACAAGAGAAAAGTGTGACATTACTGTAATTATTGAACATATAGTTCATGCCACATAGACGGAAAATCTACCAGTAAAAAAGAATTCTCTTTTGTACAAAAACGCACAACCTTAAAATTTAAATTCAAACTCAGCGTTGTGACTGCATGTTCCAAAACAATAACACATTTCTCATAGTTTTTTTTCGGATTACATCTCTATTTTTGTTGTCCTCTTATTACCGAGAAGTAAAAACAAGAACAAAATCTATTTCCATACCTGAGGATGTCTGTAAGAACAGATGAAAGCTTGTAAAATTAAATGACCTTATGCAACTGGAATTTATGAACAGGGATCATATCATTCATATACAGGTTCGGGGTTGATGTATCTCATTGTTTGCGAAGATGTATTCTCGCCATTTAAATCATTAAGCTCTATATTTGTTTTTTGTATGAATGATTCATGAATTTATAAATTATAATTTGCACCTTTTAATTGAAATATATATATATATATATACACACACACACACACACACACACACACACACACATACACTCTCCCATTGGTTTTGACATATGAGGATCTGACAACTGATTGATTCAGTTATGAGTTTTGTGCGATGATCTTAAGTGGCACTTAAGACCTGCATGTGATTTTCAAAGGAGGCTGCATATGGAGCAGGAGTGAGGATTATGGGATGAGGTAGGTTCCACTCTCACTTCTTAAAGACGATTCAGACTAACAGATTGAAAACCGCTGAGTCACTTCCTCTATGATGGTGTTGATGACTAAACTCGCTGCCAATGTTGCAGATTCAAGATTAGAAACTTCCAGTTTCATCAAAATCTGCTCCACTCATCCATTCCCTATCGGCATTTGGCTTAGCAAGAGTTGATTGGAGGTGAAAGAAAATCAGAATAGGAGAAAATGCTGATGGCGTGGATTTGTTTAAGGTGGACCTCAATTTACCAGTGCACGTTTTATTATAAACTAGCTTAAAGGCCACCCTATTTACAGACTAAATATCTGTATTATATATTATCTAATTCTAGGCAATATCACTCTTCAGGTTTAACTAATTTGCATATTGATTTTAAAACATTTTATTTCATTAATTAACTGTTCTTCATTACTGTTATTTTATTCGAAGATTGTTTTGATTTTCATATCAAAATAGTTCTGTTTAGGAATATCATCTTATATAATGGAGAAAAGTGTTTGAAATTTACATTTTACTTGGCCTTCAACAAGTTGGTATTTATTTGTAAAACTTTCTGCTAGTGAAATATGAGAATATTTTTTTTATTATCGTTAAAAATATTTGAAAGAAATAATAAGAGGGAGAAATTTACTATTATCTGAACTAATAGTAAAAAAAAAAAAAAAAGTAAACAAAGCAAAATAACATTACGACTAAAAAATGCTTTGCTTACAAATTTGAAAATACATCCCTAAAAATGTTATGTTATGTCAATAGGAAAAAGATAAAATAATTATGGACCAATAATGATAAGGAAAGAAATCGACAATACTGAACCAATAGTCAACGATAAACAAAACAAATATACCAAAAAAAAAAAAAACAAAAGATGATATAACCATGGTTCCTCTTTCAAAGTATGAAAAAGTATGTTTCCTACAAGTCTGGCGAAGCATTATTGTGATTTTAGAGAGGTTCATAATAAAAGCCCAGCGATTGAATGGAGTATCATGAGAAAAGTGAAGAATCATAAGCTAAATGGCATCTCCTGTAGACTTTGTCAGGAGGAGAAATTGGCTAATGCGACTTACCAGGGTATAGCAGAGTTATTAAATAAAAGAACCGAGGTCATGCCAAAATGTAAGTACAAAAAGAAGCTATACTTGGGGATTTACGAACTTTGATGAGGTTGGATAATTTTTTTTTTTTCCTTTCCAACTACAGCTGATTATTTCCAATCTAATATTGTCTTATTTAAGTTTTGGTGTGTGGAAGGCAATTTAATTTGTCATATTAACCACCTGAAGAGACCTTGGCAGTTGAAACGGTGGTCATGTTTCTATTTTTATTGTGTTATATATGCAGTGTTTATTGGAAAGTGCTCAATATCAGTGATAACGCTAACATATTCAGTTGTATGGATATGAGTTTATGACCCTGGGTTTCATGCTTTTGCGATCATCAGAGTTTGTCTGATGATTGCAAAAGTGTGAAACCCAGTCTAAACTCATATCCATCCACACTAATATGTAATTTGACCAAGCTACTGATTAGTTGAGAAATTGTCTGTTTGTGTGTTTCCTGTTCTTTTTGATAGTCCCTTCCCCCCATCACTACTTTTACAGGAAGTTGGTTAAGTACGAGATGGTTTAAATAGTTGGAAACATTAACTGATCCTATTTACATTGTTTGGACTATAATCCTCATCTTTGTTGCCATATTTATCACAACATTTTGACCATTTTACACTCCAGCCTTCCTCAGGTGGTTGGAATGTCTAACTGAACTCCAACCTCCTGAAGAATGCCAGAGTGTACAATGGCCGAAACATTGTGATAAATATGGCAACAAAGATGAGGATGATAGTCCAAACAACATAAATAGTGTACGTAATACCTAATCTCAGAAATATAGACAGATATTAACTGATTCTGGTTTTAAAATAAAACCATTGCCAGTTTTGGTTCTAGCCCTGACTTCTAAAGCAAGCATAGCTTGTCAATATTAACAAAATGATAGAATGCTTGGAAGGTTTTGAAATTCTGGTACGGTCGGTCACCTGTCACTACTGTTCAATTTCACATCGTTGCTCCTGGGTAGAAAGGTAAGTGGACAGTGTGTACACCGATGTGTATCTTTTTATATTACCGATACTTGCACCATCCATTTGGTTTAGATCCAACAAAACTGATGATACAGGTGTTGCGGCTTTCTGCATAGGTATACGAGTTTGCAATCAAAGAAATGGCGCACATTCCTGACCTCAAAGAAGATCGGACTCAAACACCCCCTCGAAAAAAGAAAAAAAAGAACAGGTCAGTAGTAAAACATTTTCCTCCCCTTTTTCTCTGTTGCCTATTACTCATTTCTGAAATGTGTACACAACTCATTATTTTTTGGCAATTATATTAAAGTTAGCTGCCTATATTTCTTGTAATATGGGTTTTGTTATTTTTCTGTAAGTTTCAATTAAGGCTGGCTTTAACATCTTGCATAATGGCAATATTATCCATTTCCTTGTAAAGAGATATTCTGCATTCATTAACCAAGCAGCCAGTGCCACTTTAAAGCAATCAGTACTTATAATTAAGGTAATGCCAAAATAGTCAAAGTAATGCTATAATAGCAATCCTGGTGGTAATAATGACTTTATGAAGTATTTTGAGAACACAGACTTTGTATATTTTTCTTCTCAACTAGTATCCCTGCAATTACACTTTAAGTATAATTCGATATCATTTAATGACAATAAATAAGATCTTTAGTTAAACTTACTATTATAATAAACAATTATAACCGGTATTTAGCTGCAAACAACTTTTTCTATGTTAAGAGTTGATATAATTACAAAATCAACCAACAAACCTGAATAAAAGGAATTTTGTATCTAATGAGAAAACAAAGCATTTTCATTCAAGTGTATATAATGATTAATAATGTACCATATTTTCCGGCTTACAAGACGCACCCTAATATTGAAAAGAAATTACTAAGAAAAAAAATTCTCATACAGCAACACATTCACCATGCGTCCCTCACATACTGGTGCCATGTATTGTTTACATTAATCACTTATCCGATTTGTTTGTATGGCAATGACATACTAGATAGTGCTTAGTAAATATACTATGCATCTTTCATTGTCCAAGGGTCATTTTAAATCGTCTTGATGAACTTGCCATGGATGATAATTTCCAGGACAAATAAAGCTTGTGATACATGTAACAGCCTGATATTTTCACAGCATAAGAGTGTGAACAAACATACACCATCAAGATCAAGAACAGAAAGGCTCCTGCCACTGCTATTAAACAAAGCATGTTTAAGCTTGTGACTCAGCTCCAGAAAAGTTTATTTAATCTTGGAAATACTTGTAACAGCTAACCATTGAGGTTAAATCATATAAAAGGCTGAATTAGATAGCTAACACTATAGTGTAATGACTCAACATACAAATCCACGTCCCTATCAGTGAAGCCAATTAGGTGACCGTCCAAGCTTACTAGAGCCAGGGTGTTGCCTTATATTCATCTTGGAAGATGCACATGTATTTTTCAGAGAAAAAAAAAGTGCGCCTTGTAAGCCGTAAAATATGGCAATTCTTATTGGTATGATTATTGCATATTGAAACTTGGTGGATTGTACATTTATTCAGATACAGTGATACAGATACATTTGAAGTCTTAGTATATATATATATATATATATATATATATATATATATATACACACACACACACATGTGGGTGTAACAGCAAAATTGTTCAAATCATGTAACAACATGGGGTAATTGTTCATCCCACAAAATGTTTAATATCTAAAAAAAAAAACACTAAACTAATTGAGTTTCTTTTTCCTAGCTTTTCAGATAAGACGTTCTAGGTACCTCCACGAAATCACTAAAAAAAGAGCATAGCTTGATGAAAAAGACGCCAACCTTGCCGAAAACAAAATTTTATTGTCTAAATGCTTATGTTATTATTTAGAGGAAAGACCAAAGTTTTTTTTAATTATTTTTAAAAAAATTTCCTTCTTTTTAGAAAATTCTAAATTTTGATTAAAAAAACCTTGTTTCTATTTGTATCAGTGGAACTAGTAAATAACATAGAAAATTTTTAGCACGTTTTTTTGGTATGACACACATTAATTTGAAAAATCGTTCAAAAATAGAAACAATTATCGGATGTTAATGAAACTTTCAGGAACTATTCACAGATGATCGAAATTATTATAAATATGTTTTTTTTATGAAAGTCATGGTAGAAATATTTTTAAAAATATTTATTACCCCCCTAACTAATTTTATGAAAACGCTAGAAATTCGATCGCATCGGTTTTTAGTGATTACAATAATTAAAAGCACAGGGCTTTGAGGAATGCAAATCATGTTTTTTTGTTTTTAATTGGAAACCCAGTACCTGAAAATCAGCTCTGTATTGTAACATACAAAACTCAATAAAACAAATATATTATTTTATTTCAAATGCTTTTATTTGCTTTTAGTTGTTTTTATGACTATGGACAATATTTTCTGAAAGAAAAAAAAATTTACCAATGAAAAATGAATTTTTAACACAATTATTTGTTATTTCATTAATTATAATAGATTTTACATTTAAGTTGTTAAAATATTATAAAATTAGTTAAAAAGCCGCATTAGGCTTTCATAAAGTGTCCATATGAGATAGATCTTTTTTTAGCGCGTTGTAAATTGTATCATTTGACTAATCAGAAGATCCCCAGTAATTAAGAAATGTAATTTTGTGCTTATAATCGAGCTGTAATTATAAAATACGGAAGACCAACCAGAATATAATTAAGTTGCGTTATTTGAGTTAAGCATTGTTCTCCGCTGTTAAGGCCTTTACTTTTTGCGAAACACGTGTGGAGAAGTTAATTTGATTTTCAATTTCAACTGAGAAGGTTACCTACAAGTATCAGTATCATCTTATGAAATTTATATGATCTTATTTTTTATATTAATCTCAGTTACGACATTTTTCCATAAATGAAATATCAAAATTAATAATAAAATGAATGCAAATACAAATAACAGTAGAATGTAATAAATGTACATAAAATACTATAATTTTATGTACAATTCTGATAAAATTTCATAAGAAAGGTACCTACAAATTAATTAGATACCTTTCTTAAGAAATATGAAATTTAATGTCACTCTTAACAGTTTTATTTTAATTTCTTTACAATATATTTCCCATAAAGCATCATAAACGTAAAAGTGAAAGCTAAGTACAAAAAAAAAAAAATTAGACCGCTGAAAGTTTTAGATTAAAAATAACGGGGTAAATAATTTGTTCACGTAAATGTAAATTATTTCACTTTTCTCCTTCAGAGAACAAATTAGCCTCATGGAATTCGTAAATATATCATTCATCACATGTCAAGAGGCCTTGAAAGTTTATGACCTGCTTTGTTTTATTTTCAAATTACATCTTTTTGCACAAAAGCTAAGTTAAGTTTGGTTCAAAATATTTTAAATAAACATTATAATTTCTGATTTTCTTAAAATAAGTTTTGAAAAAATGATAATTGATATTTAAAAATTTCAAAGTCGATTTCCATTTTTTTTTAAAATGGAAAAAATGGTCAATTTTGCTGACTCAAAAAAACTAGATTTTTAACGAAAATTTCGGACGTGCTAGGAAACGATTAAAAATGGAAAAAAAATACCCCAAAAATACTTTGACCTTTCCTCTTAATGAATAACAAACATTTAGACGATAAAATTTTGTTTTCGTCAAGTTTGGCGTCTTTTTCATCATGCTATGCTCTTTTTTTAGCGATCTCGTGGAGGTACCTACGTTAGCCATCTTGACACCGTTTGTTATAAGAATCAATGAACAACTCTTTTAGTCATTTGGCTAGAAAAGAGAACAGGATAAAATCATTTTTTGTCAGCCCCAGTATCTTCTCAATGATGAGAGGAAAAAGATCATTAAGGCCTTCAGTAATGGTACCAAAATTTATACTCTGGCTTCCATCTTCAAAGACTATTCAAGAACCATCAAGAGAATGGTGAATAAGTTTAAAAAGAGAGGGAACAGTAGAGATTAAAAATTGGATCAGGAGGTCACAACAGCAAGAGGGATCATCATTTCAACTTAGAGCTAAATACATTCTTATTGTTCAAAGGAGAGTTCAATAGTGTTATAAAAACCTCGGAGAATTCCAGTAAGATATCTTTAATCATTTTTTAGATGCAGTGGTTCAGAGCTTAATCTAACAATTGGACAATTTTTGTGTTACATGATTTGGGCAATTTTGCTGTTACACCTGGTATATATATATATATATATATATATATATATATATATATTATTTTTAGGCAGCATATCTTCATTCAAACAGGTTTCATTGAATAATATAGGCATGTTGTGTCTACTTATTTTTATACTGATCCTTTCTACTTATCTAATCAGTTTCTTGATATTAAGATGAAATTCGATTCCTGTCGGAGAGCATCTATTTTCTATGAAATTTCTTGAATATTCAGCTCGGTAAAATGTAATTAATACGATTTAATTAAAAAATGGAGCATTTACTTAAATACATTATATCTATAAAAATAATGTATAAACCATATATATATATATATATATATATATATATATATATATATATATATATATATATATATATACACATACACACTTGAAGAATATATCCCGGTTATATTTAGAGTTCTACTTTGGGTATTATTAATATACTAGTGTACCCGTGCCGTCAAAATTGACAGCAAGAAGGAATGTATTATAAGTAATATGTATTATATTGTAAGTAAATCTCATTTAATCCAAGTACAATTTCATAATTTAAAATAGTTTGTTGCTAACGTTAATAATTAAACCGTGTACAATTGATAAACACCTCCGGAATGATATTTGTATTTTATTCTCATAAATGTTACATATTTACAACCAAAAGTCTTCTTTTACTGCGAAAGTTCCCAAAGCACAATATTTTTGTGTAAACTTTGGAAGATCTGAGTAATCTTTGACAATCCATAGATTCAATCTGTCATTTCAGAGTCTGGGAAAGAAAGGGATTGTTACAAGCAAAAAAAAAAAAATAGTTAGAATTTAGTTCCTACTATGAACTGTGTTGCCATTGTTTGGGATGGTCTCTTTATAGTCTGTCAGTGCAATGGTTTTTGTGTGTGGACATGAATGAGGTTTTGACTTCTGTGCATATATATATATATATATATATATATATATATATAGTCACAAGCTGAAAGACCCTAAATTGAATGAGAGCATGAATGTGGCAGGCAATGTGCAGTGCTGATTTCTATAGGCACAGATTTTATATTCTCCCTCATATCTATAAGTCTTCTGTCTAATTACAAAATTATGTTAAGGGTGTTCCAATAAATTGGACCAATTTTAAATGTGAATTAAGTTTAAGCATCTATTGAATTTTTTCTTTTTCAGATTTAACAACTTAAGTCTTTGGCAATTTCAACCATGGAAAGATTAACAATTAAACAACATGTTAAAGTTTCAAGAGTGCAAAAATTGTTCATATATTCAAACAAACTGGGTTGGTGGCAGATGTGAAAACGCCATTGCATGCTCGTTTATGCTATTCAGCTGAAAACATTGCTGCAGTACATGAGAATGTGGCCGAAAATCCTGACACCTATATTCATCAACGCACACAGGAATTGAACCTTTCTACAACAATGTTACATTGTTTCCAATTGCACTCTCAGTTGGTTAAATATGTTGACTAAAAAAAATTGTGAAGTGTGCGAAATGCATTTCTGTTTGAATCTCAGATTTTCTTAATAGGCTTTGATAACTTTAACACATTGTTTGATTGTTAATCTTTCCATGGTTAAAATTGCCAAAGACTTAAGTTGTTAAATCTAAAAGAAAAAGATCATTAGACACTTAACTTAATTCACATTTAAAATCGGTCCAAGTTATTGGAACACCCTTTATGTAAAGAAAATCAAATATCAATTTTTAACATAATTTACTCCTATGTCAAATCATGGTAAATATTAATCATATAGACCAATGATACACTGAAAATTTCAGATCTGAGTTTAGAAATTCTAAAAGATAATGAGTTGTTAAAATTTTTTTTCTTTTACTATTGGATTTCTTTTCTTTGTACAAAGGGAATTCAAACTTGCTGATTATTGTTCTGTGATTTTAAATTTAATTTTTATCCTTTTAATCTCAAAACAAATTTGTCTTATTTCAAATGAAATATATAAACAAAAACCTCAATTGGCACTTCTCAGCCAGCAGGAGAGATTAACAATTAAGAATTGATCAGTAGTTGCGTTTTTTTGTTTATTTTTAATAACTTAATCACTTTTTAATTCTTTGTAGATTATCCACTTAATTCTTTACCACTTGATCCTCAAGTGCTGACTCAGTATTAATTCTTTAGGAATTTTTTCAAGTTTTGTCTGGACAATTAAAGCTTCTTTTATATATTTGACTGAAGGAGGGGGGTGTTCAGTTGCCTTAACCTTAATTTGAAGGTTAATAACAAGAGTACATTTTATGATATGTATTTTACTAGCAATATAACCCATCTTTGACTGGGTCTTTCATTACTGGGAATTTTTGCTGTTCAGTTGGAGCGGTTTAAGTTTAAAGTCAGCCCACCTGAAAATCAATATTAGTAACAACAATTGGGTGCAACTGAGGCACATCCCCGGGTTGTAACAATTTGAAGGGGGGGGGGGCTCCTGAAAGGGAAACTGTATAATAATAATAAATAATATTATTGTAATAATTTAAACTATTTATTTTTATTAAAGTTTTTATGAAAGATATATATCCAAGAACAGATAGTAAATAGTAAAATGTTGCTGAGAGTTATAATGGACAGGAAGCAGTGGAGAGCCATTATCGTCAACAATTTGAACTCAAAATCGGCACTGAAGTATTGTCTATCAAACAAAAAAAGTTTTATCAATATCGAATGAAAACTGTGGAAATGCATAAATAACATCCGATCACACACACACACACATTGAGAATTATAGATATAGATGTCAAAAGAGGAAAAGTTGTTAATTTTTACATAATTTATGTAAAATACTAGTTACAAAAGATGTAGCTAGCATAATAGTTATCACAATAGAAAAAAAATTTTTTTTTTTTTAATCATTTAACTGCTAAACAAGGCAATAAAGCCACTAAGACATAAGGGGTTACTGAGTGTTATGGAATATAAGAAAAATCACTATTAAGAAGAGAGGGAAAAAAACAGGAATTATGACAAGATAACAATTGACATGGCATTTAAAATTTTGAAAATCAAAGTTGGCTAGAAAGTAAAAAGCCAGAAAAGTTCTACAGGCAAGCAGTGCGAGAGAAGAAACTGTAAGAATAGAACTTAGTTACATCTTGAAATTTCAACCATAAAATGATGAGACCTTGCCACCAATCTAGTGCTGTGTCTTTGAATATACTTAGTTGAAGAAAGGGTTCATTTGTCTTAAGCTTTGAAGATTAATAACTCTTATCAGCAGTTTTATTGATATATTTGAAAATGAAATTGGTGGGCCAAGTTCAAATTCCTGCCTAATCTGTTGTTTATTTTCATACAAATGCTCTTTGTAAAGGTATGAATTTGTCTATTGTTTCATCAGTTGTGCGTTAAATAGCAGGAAGAACTGGGCTCTCTTGTATCAGTAATAATAAAATGACCATTTAAACTCACCACTTGATCATAAATACAGTCTTTGAGTTTATTTTTTAAAATTTTTTTCCTGACTTGGTGTGCCATTAAAAAAGAAAAATTCTTATACCACATGATTTGAAAAAATTTGAGAATTGCCATACTAGGTTTTAGATTCTTAAATTTTTCTTCTTAAGCAACTTTCGAATTCCCTTTTTGATATTTCTCTTCCTTTGTTTTTCAAGTAAAACTTGTGTTGATTGTTGTTGTTATCTGTCTTGTATTGCCTTTGGAAGTGAATGCAATTTTCTTGATGTTCTTTCTATTACACTCTGTGAATGTCTTGTATCAAATGCTTGATTCTTGTGCTTCAAATTGCCTTGCTTGCATCCCATGCATTGTGTATCTCCTGTTTTGTTTTTCTTGTTTTTCTTTTATCTCTTTCCATCATTTTTCACTGTTACATATTAATTCAAGATTTTGTCTCTGTCTTTTATTGCAATGTTATACAGAAAGTTTTCTCATTTGATAATGTTTAAAAAATAAATAAATAAAACTGATCTTCCTTGGCTGAGCAATAATGTGGTTCACTGTTAATTGTTTCAGTTTTCTTTCCATTGGCTGAACAAACATTTTAAACACTTGACAGACAATGGAACTTTTCCAATACTTTACAAGTTGTCACTAATCTCTGTTGAATTCTTAACTGAAATTTTGTGTCACATAGATTTTTACCTGAATATTATTTAAATTTAACCTTCTAAAATGAAACAAAACCATATTTATTTTGAATTGGAAATATTTCTTTTTATTTCTTTTATATTCTTTTTCTTTGATTTTCTTTCTATTTTTTTTGCATACATCTCTCCCTCTCTCTTTGGATACCGCTCTCCCTCTCTCTCTTTCTGCATACCTTCTCTCTCATTCTGCATACCTTCTCTCTCTTTCTGCATACCTTCTCTCTATATCTCCCTCCCTCTCTTTGCATATCTCTCTCTCTGTGTCTCCCCCATATCTCTCTCTCTGTGTCTCCCCCATATCTCTCCCTCTGTGTCTCCCCCATATCTCTCCCTCTGTGTCTCCCCCATATCTCTCCCTCTGTGTCTCCCCCATATCTCTCCCTCTGTGTCTCCCCCATATCTCTCTCTGTGTCCCCCATATCTCTCTCTGTGTCTCCCCATATCTCTCTCTGTGTCTCCCCATATCTCTCTCTGTGTCCCCATATCTCTCTCTGTGTCTCCCCATGTATCTCTCTGTGTCCCCCATCCTCTCTCTCTCTCTCCCCATATCTCTCTCTCTCTCTCCCCATATCTCTCTCTGTGTCCCCCATCTCTCTCTCTCCCCCATCTCTCTCTCTCTCCCCATCCTCTCTCTCTCCCCCTCTCTGTCTCTCCCCCATATCTCTCTCTCTCTCTGTGTGTCTCCCCTCCCCCTCTCTCTCTCTCCCTCCCCCTCCTCCCATCCTCTGTGTGTCTCCCCATATCTCTCTCTCTCTGTGTCTCCCCACATCTCTCTCTCTCTCTGTGTCCCCCATATCTCTCTCTCTCTGTGTGTCTCCCCCATATCTCTCTCTCTCTGTGTGTCTCCCCATCTCTCTCTCTCTCTGTGTCTCCCCCATCTCTCTCTCTCTGTGTGTCTCCCCACATCTCTCTCTCTCTGTGTGTCCCCATATCTCTCTCTCTCTGTGTGTCTCCCCATCTCTCTCTCTCTGTGTGTCTCCCCATATCTCTCTCTCTGTGTCTCCCCCATATCTCTCTCTCTCTGTGTCTCCCCCATATCTCTCTCTCTCTGTGTGTCTCCCCCATATCTCTCTCTCTCTCTGTGTCTCCCCCATATCTCTCTCTCTCTCTGTGTCTCCCCCATATCTCTCTCTCTCTCTCTCTCTCTGTGTCTCCCCCATATCTCTCTCTCTCTCTCTCTGTGTCTCCCCCATATCTCTCTCTCTCTCTCTCTCTGTGTCTCCCCCATATCTCTCTCTCTCTCTCTCTCTCTGTGTCTCCCCCATATCTCTCTCTCTTTGCATTCATCTCTTTTGCATTTTCTTTTTTTCCAATTTTGCAGATTAATTAATCTATTGTGTAACTTAGATTCTTTTTCCTTTCTGTCATCTCTTTCTTATCTTGACTATTGCTTTCCATTTATTAATACAGTCGAGACAAGATGCCATATATGTTAGTTGCTATGCCAAAAAAAGGCATTTAACATATTTACGAATATTTCACTGCATTTTATTTGCCTGAAAATAGTTTTCTCAAAATCTCAATTCTCTGACTATGACTCAGTTATTTTAATTTAAAAAAAAAAATGAAATAAAGCATTTACTACAGATGTTACTTGAAAAGCAAGAATACTGTAAATCTGTTGACCTTGTGTCATTTTCAAAAAAAAAAACAGTCTCAACCTCAATCTCCACAATTGTTTAAATATTATCTTACCAAATGTCAATAGTAAAAAAAATAATATAAAAGCTTTCATGAATTTTAAAACATTTTGTTCTTGATAATGATGGTTGACAATGCGAGAACAGTTCTTAACATACACTAGAAACAAATGTCTATTATCTGATATGGAGACAAAAAGAAACAAATTTCATCTGTGGGCTTTCATAAAATTTGTTTATCTAAAAACAGCTACCAAAATATTTATATGTGTCACTAATGTCTGGTAGGAATATGAGTCAAAACTTTTTAGATGTAAAACTTTTATTTTTCACTCCTGGATCCTGTTAAATTAATGCTGACTATGGAGGGTATATAGTTTTATAATTTTTTAAATTTGTTCTCCTGCAATGGTTCAATGAACATCATGAGTAACTTAGAGATTTTTTTTAAAAATAAGTTAAATATAAGATTCATGCAGAGATTAATCTGATTTTCCCAGCACCCCAGAGAAAAAAAAAACACACACTCCAATTCCTCAGAATTGGACATTGTTTTGCAATTACCTTTGTGGTCAGTCATTGAGGTTCTTGTTAATTTTAATATTTGTGAATGAAAAATTTCATCAACTTTATGTAAGAGAACTTTCTGTATTTTTTTCAATAGATTATTTGGACAATACATTTGACCCAGAAGCAAAATTCATTTCTTGTCACCTTCCCTGCCACCATATTTTTCTCCTTTTTGTAAATATAATGTAAATATATATTCATGTATCAAAAATGTAATTCCCTTGCCCCCTTTCATGTATCAAAAATGTAATTCCCTTGCCCCCTTTCATGTATCAAAAATGTAATTCCCTTGCCCCCTTTCATGTATCAAAAATGTAATTCCCTTGCCCCCTTTCATGTATCAAAATGTAATTCCCTTTTCATATTATCAAAATTCATGTATCAAAATGTAATTCCCTTGCCCCCTTTCATGTATCAAAATGTAATTCCCTTGCCCCCTTTCATGTATCAAAATGTAATTCCCCCCCCCCTTTCATGTATCAAAAATGTAATTCCCTTGCCCCTTTCATGTATCAAAAAATGTAATTCCCTTGCCCCCCCTTTCATGTATCAAAAAATGTAATTCCCTTGCCCCCTTTCATGTATCAAAAATGTAATTCCCTTGCCCCCTTTCATGTATCAGTAATAAAAGAAAAAAATGTTCATGGACATGAATGTTTTAAAAAAAAAATAAAATAAAATATACCCCTTTTTAACTCATTGTATTTTATTTGTATTATAAAGTGTAAAAAATTAATTAAAATGATAATAAATCCCTTAACTATGGAAAACAATTTTCAGTCACTGTGGCTCAACTGCAAATGACAGAAATTTCTGTGAAACCTAGAAAATGTGAATAATGAATATTTTTATTTAAACTTAGCACAGCATTTAACCCTGCATTGGTCACAAGTGGTGTTTTGTTACACCCAAATTTTTAAAGTATTCATAAATCTTATGTGGAAGCCTGTTTCTTTTGTTCCCTTCCACAACTCTCCTGACACAGGTTGTGTAGCACATGGTGTGACGCAGTTGTAGCTCAGTTTTTGTGGAGGACACCAAGGAACTGTCCATTTTTGGAAATCTGAGGTGACTAATACAGAATTAAAAAAATGACGATTAAATACATATTAACATTATAACATCTATTATCTTAAAAACATAAATTCTTTTAAAACAAATCTAAAATTTAGCTGAGGTCAAAACTTTGTTTTGTAACCTATTTTAAAATAGGTATATCTGTTAATAAATTCAATAGGTTTATCTTAATTCCTGACATGTGACTCTATCTGCAAAACTCTGAGTCAGAAGATAAGTTATTGAACTTTATATACGAATAAAGACAAAAGAAAAATTTGTTTTAACCAATGTGTTTCATCCACTGATTAACTTCATCAAAACAAATGTGAGGATTTTATTTTGCAAAAAGGATATATAAACAAAAGTAAAAACGCTGTTTTTAAAAGATTTTTAATCTAAGATGCGCTTAAAAACTTGAAAAACTAACATTTTTACTTTTGTTTATAAATACTTGTTGCAAAATATAAATCTTTATATTTGCTTTGATGAAGTCAATCGGAGGACAAGATGTGTCGGCTAAGATCAGTTTTCCTTTCTTCATATACTTTTAGAGAGATTTTATTTATATATAAAATGTTACATATATGGCTTACAGCCATATGGCCTTGAAACAGCTGCTTTCATCCAATCACTGAAGTTAAACAACATCAACCATGATCAGTACATTTTGCTGCTAAATTCTTTGTACAAGGCCCAAGGGTCTCTCTAGGTATTAGGTTGGTGCAAAAATAATGGCGTAATGTCGTTTTTTGACGTTAACATCAAAAAACGACATTATTACGTCATTATTTTTGCACCAACCTAATAGTTACTGAATGAGGTTATATGAGTATGAGGAAGAAATAAGTTCAGATTATGAAGATATATAGGATTAACTCTGGAGAGATTAAGATTTGTGATAATTCAAAAAGCATAATCTGTATTTTAAGGAAGTCCAAGGATATGGTAGACAATGTTTTAAGGCTCCGAAAATTGTTCACACTGTTGAATTTTTTTTTTGTTAATGTTGTCCAGAAGACCATGGAAGAGATTAGGTGAAATTTTTGCCAACCCCCCAAGACCACCCTTGGAATAGTAAATATTTTCAATATTACAAGTAACTTTTTTTTTTTCTTTAACTTTACCTCATGCTTTAAATTTCTATTTGAAATTTTATTTTAAAATTAAAAAAAACATTAATGAATAAAAAATAATTTTCCTCAAGAGCAGTTAAACTTGTCACTATGTGCAATATTAATAACAATAAATCAGTCAATTGAATGGATTTGTGCCCAACATCCAGGCCCCATATACTTGATGCATTTGCATCATTGAAACATTTATTGAATTATAAACATGACTCAAGTGTGTTGTCCAAATATTTTATTTATATAAAAAAATATTTATTTGTACTCGTATACATTATTGTTACTCTTTAACCATTATGACAAAAGAATTTTTTAATATACAAATTACTGCTGCTGCTTGTTCTTGCAACTGCTGCTATTAAAACTGTCACTATTTATTAGCATCACTATAACCACAATTTTTTTTTTTTCTATTGCTCCAATTACTACCGCTGCTGCTCCTTCCCGTCTGTGCATGATTGTCACTTCTGTTTGTTTTCCTTCTCTTTGCACTATGGCTTCATTTGTTTGTTTCTGTGTGAATGAATTTGTAATCTTTTAATGCCAAATGTTCTCTGTACAAATCCAACATGGAATATAGTTTCCCAAATATTTATCATAATCAAAATTTGATGACTTCTTACCATGTTCTTCTCTTGCAAGTTTTAAAATTTAAACAATCTACACACGTTAAATTATTTCCTCAAGGTTTCTCTTTGCTGCCCTAAAAAAAAAAAAAAAAAAACACAAACCAATAGCCTAATGAATTGGTTTGTAAATTTGGTAACATCCCTAGATTGAGTAGTACCGATTGTGGCTTAATGGATAACAGTGGAGAGTATTACTAAATACAAGATAACGAGATGGGATTTACCTAAATATGGACTGTGGAACAAGGACAATCTAACCCCCATAGATTAAATAAAAAGTTCAGTTTGTAATTCATATCGGCTGTTGATTGGCAGAAACAGGGCAAGCAATAATGATCCCATTGATTGAATAATATGTTAATGTCAAAAAATTCCCTGAAGTTTACCTTGATTGACAGACACCTGAAAAGGGCTGGAGGGGAACAACCTGTCAAAGCCCTTTGATAACAGCGAAAAAGATGAGGACAATGGTTCAAGTGTAAATATGGATTACACAAAAATTTAGACAGCATGTTCCAGAGGATAATATCCTATTGGATTAAAGCATTGGTTTGTGAAATTTGTAAAGTCATTCCAAGTTCAATCCTGGCTGTGAGTATGATGGAAAGATGATCAAAAAATGGGCAGTGTTGAATACAAACAAAATGAGATATCCCTAGACATAAATGGTGGGATGAAAACAATCTACCCTCGTAGTTTAATCGGTTCAGTTTGGATGTCTCTTGGATCAACAAACACCTGATGGTCAGAGGAAACAACAGCCAAAGCATTGTGATAATAACAACAAAGAAAAGGACACTACTCTAAGTGTAAATTATGATACTTCCTCAACCCAGAAATTCAAACAGAAAGAATTTTCCAGAATGTAAGATGTCATTTTCATGCTTGCTTCCTTAAGATAATGAATCTGTCAAATGGTTTTAGTTTTGATGGGACATCTCTGAGAGGCTGTTTATATTTTTGACCTGACAAATTTAAAAAATGCTAGAGATTTGGAAATTCCTAACATTGGCAATGGATTCATTATTGGCGGCTACAATCTTAACAATGTAAGATATACAGAGGACACCATATTTGCAGCAGACATGGAAAGGAAACTACAAGAACACCTACAGAAGAAATGATTAAACTTCAACTACAAGAAGATAGAATGTATAGTTGTCAAGAAAAGAAACAGCCCAAAATGCAAATTACTAATTGGAGATACCAAAATCAAACAAGTTCAACAATATCTGGGAAGTGTTTTAACAGAAGATATTGAAATCTCAAGGCACATTGGGATATCAAAAGATGCTTTCCAAAAGCTAAGCAAAGTATTAAGAAACAGGAAAATTTTGTCAGAAACAAAGAAAAGAGTACTGAAGTCTTATGTAATATCCGTCCTCCTATATGGCAGTGAATGTTGGACAGATGAAGAGAAGACTTTAAGCAACAGAAATGTAGTTCAACAGAAGGATGTTGAGAATACCATAGACCAAATATGTGAGCAACAATGTTTTTAGAGAAAATGGAAACAAAAAGGAAACTTATACTTAACATCAGAAAGAGAGAGATGAAATTTTTAGGGCACATAATGAGGAAAGAGAGCTTGGAAAATTTGATACTCACAGGAAAACAACTCATACCTAGTGAACTGGAGTAAATAAATGGCAGAACTGGGTTTAAATGATATAACATATAGACAAAATTTATTAAGAACTTCAAAGGACAGGAGAGCCATGATTACAGCACACAGAAGGACAACTTTGGTAACTGGAGGTATTATTGTGCTAGTGGCATAATAAAAAATGAAATTAGCAATCCAAGTTCAAATTCTAGCCAAAGCTGTTCACTTCACACCACTGCTTTTTGATTGGAGTGAATTGTATTTTTACAGCTTATCAACCCTTTATAGGTTATTTAAAGCCACGAGATTTTGGATTGTATAAAAAAACAAATTTTATGAAAATATTACATTAATGATTTTTTGAGAATAAGTGATTTTTTTCCAGATACAAGTCCTACTATTTAAGCCATAGTTGGGAGGAGGGGATGGATTCATACCTTTCCCAAAGGTATATGTGCATAAGTGAATGTAATGATCCTGACTGGAATTTGAACTAGGTATCCCAACTTTCTGAACTACTATCCATTACACCACCTGCACATCCATGCTTCTTGGAAAGGCATGAATCCATCTCTGTGTGTAAGCAGTAAGGCAGACTGTAGTCTGTATCCTTGATAGGGAAAACAAAGAGAAGGAAAACTCTGAAGTCATATCCACTGTCCAGCACATCATGAACCTACTTTACTTCATGTGTTTGGCATACCGCAAAGAAAGCCTGAATCCAACAGTGAAATAGGGAAAGCCACAACTTTTTTGAGTTTGGTGTAGAACCTAACCTCTGTCTACTGTTTTTGACTTGGCTATAGAACTGGACACCTGTCCATTTATTTGATTCAGGTGTAGCGCCAGACCCCTGTGTCTGCCTTTTTGACTCAAGTGTAGAACATATCTGTTTAACCTTTTGTTGCTCTATAAGACTTGAAGTGATATTTTTCTTATTAGTCGGGTATCTGCCAATGAAGAGGGATGGAAAACTTAGCAACACTGGATCACAGCATGTGCAGGACTTTCATGTGGAAACATCACATGTATGGGACGAATGCAACCGAGACACAAGAAACACAAACAAGGACGAATGAATTTGAAACAACGCTAGGTAACATGAAGAAAAATCCTTAGTAACACACAGCAATCCTGTTGTACGGCCAACATGTCATATTACCAAACTCTGCCTCTTCCCATAAAATGTACCTGCAGTTGGCTAGCAAAGGAATCATTTGCACTGCTAACACTGCTGAGCTTACCATTCTGATAATCTCTTGGGAAAGCAGGTAAATGCTTTCTTTCTTTGTAACCAGGCATTCCAGGGTTTGCACCAGTTTTTGTTCTGGTAGGGCAGCCATGTTGTCTTTCTGCAGAGACAGCACACTAAACATCGTCTCTTTAACCAACTGAGGTGGGTACCATTATTAGTCGCGATTGGCTGCTCCGTCTGCATTCCATTTCCACTACAAGAAATAACCCATTGATACATTCATTGGGGAACAAAACAAATCTTGCAAACTAATATGTAATGTTAATATCTGCTATTTGTATGTCTTTTTAAAAACTTAGCTTTGTGTAAATCCAGATTAATTTTCAACATGGAATCTGTAATACTGTAACTGGCAGTAGGCAAGGCGAAAAGAGAGAATAAAGGGAAATATTTTACTTGAACCCTGACTTTTCAATAATGACCTCAGATTTTTAATAATACATTGTATGTTCAGTAGAGGCAACACCTTTTCTTAATTGTATCTCTCCATTATACAAAAATGAGAAAGAATAGTACCCCTTCTTGATCGTATGTTTTTTTTTTTTTTTCAGCTCACAAAAAGATTTGTGCGATAGTACGTTTTAAATGAGGAGTTACTATTACATAGTTTGCTATTCAAACCATAATCTTCACTTACGTTCATATAGCAACCTCAGTAACCCTTGAGTAGCTCTTGGGGTTTTGTATTAGGTGGACAGAATATTTATTACAGTGAGTGCAGGATAATCTAACAGATGAAGAAGCAACTTCAGCAACAGAAATGTGGTTCTATAAAAGGATGCTGAGAATACCATGGACCAAACATGTGACCAATGAAAAAGTTTTAAAGAAAATTGAAACAGGAGATTTATACTTGACACGAGGAAGAGTCAGTTGAATTATTCTAGGGGATATAATGAGGAAACAAGGCTCAGAAAATTGATACTCACAGGACAGATTGAAGGCAAGAGGGACAGATGAAAACAACATATAACTTTGCAAGCTTGAGTAATTTGGAACAAAATTTAGGATTTGTCACAAAAAGACTATTAAGTCCAAGAAAGTAAAGGAAATTGTGGAGAACCATGATCAGTGTCATGAAGGGACACAGCAAATTAGAAGATTGACTAAAACAATTAGTAAAAAAAAACAAAAAACTATGAAGCAGGTTTACAGGTTTTTTTTTTTTTATTTTTTTTTTTTTAAGAAAATGTTCAAAAGTGATTGCAGGCTAAATCATTTATTTTTCCCTCCTCTTTGTAGGTTTGTGTGTCTGTGTTCCACTTGCATGTGTGTCCTGCATTGTGCATGATATAACTTGGTCTTTGCTGCTAATGTGAATTGTTTCGTGGCATGAATGTTGATCTGTAGAAGAGAGTCGTACCCATGTTTACAGGCTTTCAGCATACCTCTGCATGGTGGCTGCCCTGCCCGTATCCCACCCCCCCCATATTGTCGTAGCCCCTCCTCATCCCTGACCTCGTACCCTCGTCTTTGGAAAACGGAGACGAGGAGGAGAGGAATTGAATTTTTAAAGGAGAGGGATTGTCCTAATTTAAAATCCCAAAAATAAGAAGGGTAAAATCTTTTAAGAAAGAAAAAAAAAATTAAACTGGGGTATAAAATAAGAAAAAAAAATTAAAAAAAATTTAATTTGTTTAAATTAAAAAATTTTTTTTAAAAAGAACTTTATCCAGTAAGAAAATATTTTTCTTGTCTTGTTTCAAAAAGACATTTTTTCTAATATGCCTATTAATGTCGTAATCTGACTGATTTGGTCAATAACTAAAATGTTCTTTCTTTATGTGAAAAGAAATTTTTTATCAAGTCTCATATTCTGGATATGCATTTTAAAATAAAAAAATTTGGTATAATCATAATTGCAGAGCAGAAAACTAATTGAAGGAGAAGTTTTTTTAATGTTAGAGTGACATGTATATTGTCATAAATCATGCTAAATGTAAGAATTTTTCTTCAATAGAAAAGCTTAATATTATTTAAACTTTTTCTTATTTTTTTTTTACTTAATTTTAAAATAATGCTCATCCAATATATGAGACAATACATACATTTTATATATATATATATATATATATATATATAATACTAATTTGTGATTAATCAAAAGTGAGCTCAATATAAATTTAAATTACAAAGCCTTATAATGATAAATCAAGAAAAACCTTAAAGATCCATTTCAGCCTCTATATTGCTGAGATGGGGTATTATGATTACTTACATTATTTAAGTCATTCAGACTGTTATCCTCATCTTCATTGCCATATTCACAACATTTCAGCTGTTGTGCACTCCGGCCTTCTTCAGGTGATTGGAATTTCGAGCTGAACCCTTTTTGTCCATTAAACTAGAACAAAGTGGATGAAATAATGGGTTCAGTTCGAAATTCCCATCACCTGACGAAGACAGGAGAGTACAATGGCTGAAACGTTATGAATATGGCAATAAAGATGAGGATGAAAGCCTGAATAATGTAAGTAGATCCTTATTGGTTATAATTTGTTTTGTGAATATTTTTATAATTATCTCTTCCAACTGAGAGTTCTTAATAAGTGGAGATAATTCATCCTCCTGTTAATCTGCTATATCAGTCCAGAGAAATTGTCTCTATTTATTAAGAACTTTCAGTCTGAAGAGATGAATATATAGAAATATTCAAAAAATAAATTATAATCAAAAAGGATCTTTTAAGGTTTTTTTTCTTGATTTATTTATCTTTTTTTTTTTTTTTTTCTTTTTAAATTCTGATTATCTATTTAACATTTTTTCGATCATATCTCCACCCCTCCAAAACCGATAACTGAAACTTTACAAAGAGATCAGATGGGATGGGGAACAAGACAGGCGTAAACGTAGCTTGCAGCGGCGGCGGTGGCACAACTATGTATGCATGTGGATGCCTGCTTGTTACATGGTCGTCTTCTTCTGTTTCTTGGTGTGCAGGTTATGGTCTATGCATTGCAGAAAGATTCAGTTGAAGAAAGACAGTGTCTCGAACCCAGTTTACAACTACCAGCCGTGCGACCACCCTGGCCAGCGATGTGATGACACATGCCCATGCATTATGGCTCAGAATTTTTGTGAGAAGTTTTGCCAGTGTAGCAGTGACTGTAAGTTGGCCAAATCTTTTTTCTTTCTTTTTTCCTTTCCTTTCTTTCTTTTTTCCTTTCCTTTCTTTCTTTTTTCCTTTCCTTTCTTTCTTTTTTCCTTTCCTTTCTTTCTTTTTTCCTTTCCTTTCTTTCTTTTTTCCTTTCTTTTTCCTTTCCTTTCTTTTTTCCTTTCCTTTCTTTTTTCCTTTCCTTTCTTTCTTTTTTCCTTTCCTTTCTTTCTTTTTTCCTTTCCTTTCTTTCTTTTTTCCTTTCCTTTCTTTCTTACATTCTCTTTCTTCTTTCTTACATTCTCTTACCTTTCTTTCTTTCTTTATTTTTTATTTATTGTTTTAACCCACCTGACCATTCCCTTTCTGGCATAAATTAGAGATAAGGTGTTTCCAGGCTAAAAGATTCTCTCAATTCAGAATTTTCCTTCTCCAAGGCTAGTTGCCAACCAAGGCTAGAGAGCCCAGATTGGTAACCCATGACTGAAGGAGGGAAAATATGAATTCATCCCTTTCTGAAGCTTATTTGTACCTGACGTGAACTAGATATAAGGTGACATTAAAAGGTGTCCAGTCTAGGCTATTTAAAAAAAAAACTTAAAAAAAAAAAAACACAATTTGGATTGGTTTTGCTAGTCATAGCATTTTTGCTGTTTTCGCTATAAAATGTTTCCACTCTGCTGACAGACGCACTAGTCATTGTACCAATTCCAGCACCATCACAGGTTTTGAATTCAGTTATCCTACACCTAGATTTATTCACTAAATTTAAAACCTAGCTGAGAATGGGAAGACATGACTTCATATCTTTCCAAAGTTTATTTGCACAGTAGTAAGTGCAATGACCTCAGACAGAATTTGAACTCTACTCTCTGGCCCGTTTTCCATGCCAGTAGCCACAATGCTACATACCTGTCCACACATTATACAAAGTGATCATAAATTATCATTACAATTTTAAAGATTCATAAAAATGTTAAAAAATAAAGTTAATTCTGCAGTGTTTATTGGATAACATAGGTAAACAATTTTTTATCTAAACATCAAAACATTATTTACATTATTTGGACTATTGTCCTCATCTTTGTCGCCATATTTATTATAACGTTTCAGCTGTTGTATGCTCTGGCCTTCTTCAGTATCTGTCTATATTTCTGAGATGAGGTATTACGTACACTATTTACATTATTCAGACTATTGTGCTCATCATTGTCGCCATATTTATTACAACGTTTTGGCTGTTGTACGCTGATAACTGACATCCATTAAACATGGAACTAGAACAGTCTACCCCAGTGAATGAAATAGTGTTCAGTTCAACATTCCAACCACCTGAAGAAGCGTACAACAGCCGGAACGTTGTAATAAATATGGTGACAAAGATTCGGGCAATAGTCTGAATAATGTACATAATACCTCATCTCAGAAATATAGACAGATTCATCAAAACATTTCCAGATAGGCTCCTTCAGTTCTATACACATAATTACCTTCCGAGTATCCGATGAGTATCCAGGTAAAAAAGAAAAAGTAAAAATCCCCCATAAACAACTTAAATAGAGTTCACACCGTTGTGATTGCCTGTTGGTCAACTTCCAATCAAATGCGTGACAGAGGGGTATGGTTTGCCTAATATAAATCGGTGTCTGCAGGCTGTTAATTTAGATTGGGGATGTATCAGAGACTGATCAGCTCTGATGTGGTTGACTTGGTGAGGGGAGTACAATGTTTGAAAGACCCGAAACTGCCCAATGATCCAATTCAGGACATCACTGACGACACCCTCTAGAGCTAAAGAGTGTAAATTCAAAGTAATATACAACATATCTTTCTGAAGGTATTTTCTTTTTCCATAAACTTCCTATACCAGACATGGATGCTAACAAAATTTGGTGTTTGTTTTTTTGTTTTTTTTCTCCATTTGTGTTTTCATACTTTGGACTGTAAAGGAGGCATGGTGGAGTAATGTATAGAGGCTCGGATTGAGGAAACAGAGAGCTGAGTTCGAATTCTAGACATATCCATTACATTCACTTACTACGTTACTTAAAAATCGAAAACTGAAATGAATAAACACAAATAAACAAAATAATATAAAAACAAGTAAAATAATTAAACCCGAACAAATAATAAACAAATTAAGAAACCACTCCCGTTAGAATAGACGAAATAGAATAAACAAAAATAAAATACATAAAAAACAAGTAAAAATAATCAACACAAATAAATAAAATAAATAATAATAAACAAATTAAGAAACCAATATAAATAACTGTTAGACAATCAATCCAAAAATTAGGTGTAAAAATAGCTATAACTGATATATAATGATAAAAACAAAACATTACTACATTAATCAAAAAGCGAATAGAGTAAATAAAAATATACAAAATAAGTCAATAAATAAGAAAAAAAGAAATAAAAATTAATCCAAATAAATAAATAAATGAATAATAAACAAATTAATAACTGTTTCCTTCCAAAATAATAGAATAGACTATGGCAAACAATCTAAAAATTGGATGAATAAAATGCTTTATCTTCCCAGACCAAAACAAACTATTAAAAAAGAGACCTAAGCAAATCCACCCCCCCATCCAATTTTATTTAATTATGTTAATATAACATCAAAAACTGAAAAGAATAAATAAATATATAAATTAAAAAACAAATAAGCCACTCCTACCAAAATAGATTACCCACAAGGCACCACTGACCCATATATATATATATATATATATATATATATAGTTGAGAAAAAACCCAACACTCACGGCATGACAATTGTGCCTAGCATGAAACAGCCTGTCGCCTCTGAGTGTTGACTTCAATGTTCACTTTTATATTTATATTTACGTACGCTCTATCTCTGATATTGAGCACTTGATCCCATAAATATAGCACACCTTAAAACCATATTTCTTCATACATACATATATGTATATATATATATATATATATATTGTTTGTGTATAAAGAAAACTTTGTTATTTTTCTTAATCATTTTCCTCTTGCTATCAAGAAATTGATTTGTGGACTTGAAAGGATTAAATGAAAAATAAACAGGCATAGTATGTATAAATGATTTAATCAAACCTGTTTGAATATATATATATATATATATATATATATTTAGAGAGAGAGATGGCTATTCATATTTTTTAAAAAATAATGAAGTCTACTTATGATTTAATTAAAGAATAGTATTGTATAAAAAGGTAACAAGATTCATTTATGCCAATGAAAAATTATTTGCTTTTAAGATTTGCTCTTTGATAAACAAGTCTGAACTTAGATTTTATTGGAATGGTCCGGTTGGGTGAAAACTGTTTTTTTTTTTAATGCTGTATTTGAAGTTATTTCAGTCATACAGACACACACACACACACACGTGTGTGTGTGTGTGTGTAATATATATATATATATATATATATATATATATATATATATATATATATATATATATATAGGGGGGGGGCTGAAAAGGGCACCTCACTCATCTACCAAAAACTGACCAAATGACCAGACATCATATTTTTTTGTTTTTTATCCCCACCTTAAACAATGAAGAAAGTTGATATTGTGTACAATCACTATTCATCAGGATTTTGTTTACCTTTATATTGTAGTGTGAAGAAATGTTCTTAGCTTAACTAAGAGCCTCTTGGTCATTTGGTTTGATTTTGGGAAGGGTTTGGACTGAGAACTTTCCAGCACCCTCTTGCATCTGTAAATTCCACCACTTAGCAAAAATGTTTGCCCCAGATATATATCCCTAAATTTTCAGCTTGCATCCTTATCATGAAAGACGTTTCCCATATGATTACCAAATTTAAGCAATATCGACATTGGTCAATAGCTAGATAGTTAACTGTTGTAACATACCTATGGATGATAACGATTCGCATAAATACAGTAGTAAATACTGTATGTTGGTCTGCAGTTGGAAATTCATTGTGGAATTCACTTGACTCACTTCCAGCAGTTGACTACTACTTCTACACGCTGCTGGTGAATCTTATGTGTTGTTCTTGCCCTAAGTATTAACATACATTACCAACCTTTTGTGTGGTTATTCTATTCAGTAAACTTACCTAGGTTACAACAGTAACCATTTGGGAATATCAGTTGATATAATTGATAATTCCAATCAGGTTCATTGTATCACTTACATACAAATATCCTTTGGAAATGTATGGATCCATCCCCTCAGAAATGAGTTAAATAGGACTTGTATCTTGAAAAATCTTTATTCTCAAAAAGGATTAATGTAATATTTACTTACTAGAAAAGAATTATTCTTACAATCCAAAATATGTTTTGGCGTTAAATAATTGACAAGATGCAAGGCTTAAAGCTATATAACATTGAAACACAGGTTCTTGAGTAACACCAAGCTTGGTCAGTTCTTAGATAGGTGACTGCTTAGGAATACCAGGTGCTGTAATTTTGGATGTGTGGGTGGTGTAATGGATAATGGCTCAATATTGTGAAGTGGAGAGCTGTGTTCCAATTCTAGTTGGGTTTGTTATATGCACTTACGCACAAATATCCTTAGAAAACATATGAATCCACCTTCCCCCACAAGCTATGGGTTAATTAAAGACTTGTATATTATATGATTTTTTATATATATATATATATATATATCTCCAACTATTCTTAAAATATTAAAATATTTTCTGGCTTTAAATAACCTGCAAAAGGTTGATAGTTTGTTTAAAAAAAAAATTGATCACACAAGGTTGATAAACAGTAAAAAAAGAAATAAGATATCAATCAATAATTCACAGGAAGAAAGACATTTGTAAAATATTTTTCAGTATAATATTTCTTGTCAATGCACTTAATCCAGTCCCACTGTGTTAATTACTTATATTGAACAATATACAATGAAAATTTCAGGTCAAAATTCATCTAACCCTGTCAGGCTCTGCTTTTTGTAACATTCATATTCAAGTATATAAATAGGTAATTGAACAAGCTGGATTAATATTTAAATATTAAACAAGGAAATATATAAGGAATTACTGTATATGTTGGCATACAAAGCAACTTTTTAATCTTAAAAAATATCTCAGTCGGGAGCAGTCTTATAGTTAAGCTGTAAAATGTGAACCTTAAATCCTGTGGTTTATGATAAATTGTTAGCATGGGAGATTTTTGACAATAGGCTAACCCCTGCCTTGGTAACTATCGTCAGAAATATTTTCTACTGAAACAATTTAATTCATATTATAATAAATACCCCAAAAAGTAGGGAGCTGTCTTATATTCCAGCTGTAAAATGTGAACCTTAAATACTGTGGTTTATGGTAAGTTGTTAGCATGGGAGATTTTTGACAATAGGCTAACTTTTGCCTCACCTCTTTTTTTAATGATGTTGAACAAAAACACAACTGATGTGTGTCTCAACAAGCTGTTTAAAGATTGTATTCAAAAACAGTAGAATGAGTGGATGGCTAGTGGGTGAAAAGTCATTCAGGCTACCGTAATAGCCTCCTGAAAATACAGCACCCACTCATGCGGTATTGTAGATTGTGGTAGTTAATTGGCAGTATCTCCCTATCATTTTTTTTCATGTATTTTGAGTGAAAAAGAATTATATGCTTACTGAATTTATTTAATAAGTTCAATACATTTTAAAATACAATATATATATATATATATATATATATATATATATATATATATATATATATACTTTTTTGATGGTGGTCATTTTGTATGATGAATATAGCCCAAAACTTAGATTTTAACTTGAAATTTTGGAGTCATCTTATATGCCCAGTCACTTTGTATGCCAGCATATGCAGTAGTTTATGTAAAGTATTCAGACTTTTTGTAGAAACATTAATCTTGTCACCACAACTTTTTTTGTGAATGACAAGTCTGTTAGGGAAAATTCAGTTGTACTAGGTTAATTTTAGGTTCAAATCCTACCGATAACTTCCTTATAATTACCGAATAAGTTGGTATACAAAGGAACTCTTTAATCTTAAAAAAGATACCCCCAAAAGTAGGGAGCTGTCTTATACTCCAGCTGTAAAATGTGAACCTTAAATCCTGTGGTTTATAGTAAATTGTTAGCATGGGAGATTTTTGACTGTAGGCTAACCCCTGCCTTGGTAACTATTATAAGAAATATTTTTTACTGAAACAACTTAATTCATATTATTATAATAAAAGTGTAGTGTAATAAAAGTACTCTTACCTTATATAATATGTACTATGATTACACAACAACAATAAAATGCATATTCATCAAGAGAGAAATCTAAAACTATCAACACACAAACAAAGCAAGTGGTAGCCTTGAATGCACTTCACCAGACAGTGTGTTCAGGAATAGACTGGTAATCATAATTTAGCATACTAAAATGGGTTAGTAAAAAATAGCCTACTGAAAACACAGCACCCACTCATGAAGGTATTGTAGATTGTGGTAGTTAATTGACAGTAGATGTAGTAATTTGATGATGAAAAAATCAATTTATTAAATACTAACAATAGTAACAGTTTCATTTAGGACTGTCATTGGTTGTTCTCGCACAAAATCAAATGTCATTGTGACTGAAGGTTTGAATATACCCCCCCCCCCCCGTTCAAAAATTTGATCACACCAGGTTATGTGTTTTCTCCCAGAAACTGTAACCAAGGTTCACTCAGTGTAGTTGCCGTATAAACCACAGGTGTGTTGATCAGGTATGTAATAGAGATTGGCTAGCCACCATGACAGACTTGGAAATGGGTAGTAGCTGTTCCTTTATTTAGCATGTGGTAATTTGGAAATGGGGGATCAGTTTATTACTTAATAACAGTAGAAAAGCAATCCCTCATTTTATGCTCACACTATTTTACAAAATCCTTAATATTACTAGGTTTTCAAATATGAATATTTAACCCCCCCCCACACACACACACACACAGTCATCCTACACTAATTGTTGCATTTTGCCTTTTCCTGGAGTCAGCCTTTTGACTTCATTAATTTTCTTTGCAACAGCCTGCAATTGTCAACAGAAAGACTTGCAATTGGTCACTGCAAAGGGGAATAACTCAAATACAGTAAAATGTTAAACATTACAAATGAACTTTGTATGCTACATAATGTAATGTGCTAATTTAGATTTAATCACAAATTACAGTGGTAAGGTTCTGGTGACAAGTCTTTCATTTGAGAACACACACACACACACACACACAAAAAGGATTGATATACTAGCAAGAATAAAATATCTTTGTACTTCCACTTCATTCTTTTGAGTCCCAAAATGTTGACAATTCCAAATTAACCCCTAACCTCACAGATAATTTCATCACCATGAAAGTGATGATGATATAAGTGTGTCGGGTAAGTATGAGTTTCTTTCCAAGGGCAAAGAATAAACTTGGTGGTGGGTATTTACAAAAAAAAAAAAATTGAAGATTGAATACTTATATACACTGAATACTGTTTCAGCCCTACTTTGTAGCTACTCATAGAAGAGGACATTTTTTGATGGTTCAAGTATTTATTTTTTTGCAATCTTTAAACTTTTTGCCCACAAAAAAAAACAGTGTTAAAAGGATAGTTTTTTCCCTTGACTCTGCTATTATTTTAACTACCATCACTCCTCGACAATGTTTGTTTTAAAAGGGGATGATTAGAATTATAATAAAACATAAATACATATAAAAGTGATTTTATATTTTTTGTTCTTGAATTGACAACAAAAATATTTAACAATATTTATTTGATTGTTTATTTACAAGAATAATTTTATATTTACAGCATTTTAAAAACTAATACCATATAAATCATTTACCAATTTATAGAGAAATCAATATGAAAACAATTTTTTATTCATAAATTTATAAACATTTACTAAATTATTAAAATGTGTTAACCAATTATAAGGAAATCATTATTTACCATTTTATAAAGTTCAAATTGATTGACAATTAGCTGATGTTTTGCCAATCATTCCAATAATGAATATAATAGTGTAAATCTAAAAATAATGTTTATTATTTTTGTTGTCAATTCTCAAGAACAAAAAAATATAAATTCGCTTTCATCATATATATAGGTTTTATTCCAATTTCAATCATTTTTAAAACAAACATTTCTGGGAATCAAGATAGTTAAAATAATAAGTGTCAATGAAAAAAACATCATTTTGACAAGTTTTTTTTTTTTTTTTTTTCTGCAGGTGCAAAGGTTAAAGGTTGCTTCATTTTTTTTTTCTTTTTCTTTTTTTTCCTACATGTAAAACCATATCCCTTCAGGGCACAGCGGGAGTCATGACTCTCTACATATTCCTCTTTTCTATTACCTGTGAATTGTCATGACTACTTAGGAAAGATAGTGGAGTAGTTACTACAATGCCGCCTTTGTGGATTTAAATTATAGAATAGCCCTTCTAGACTGACTGCCACCCAAGGCTAGAGAGTCCAGTCTATATAACTCATCACGAAGAGAAGAAATGAATTCATGCCTTTCACAAGGACATTAGTGTGAAAGTGTGCAACAATCTGGGCCAGGATTTGAACTTTTCACATGTCAGAAAGAATTCTACTCTTTAAATCATTGAAACGAAAATAAAAAAGAATGTTTAAATAATTCCTACCAGAAAAAGAAAAAGGCAATGTATTAGCAGCCTGATCTCCCTTACTTACTAATTTTTTTTTTTTTCATTGAGTCATAACATCTTTGAGCATAACAGCAGAATATCTCATTACTGAGATCAGGCAGCATCAAAGTCACATTGTATATTATAGAATACCTTTGCAGTGTGTTGCCATAAGCAGATAATCCGATTTCATGGGTGATGTCTGAAGATGAAGTGTATTAAGTTTCAGTACTCCAGCACTCTCCTCAGCATCCTGTTTTCAGTAATGTCTTCAACTGGATGGCTTTGCATCTTTGTTGGATTCCCAGTTATTTCCGGCTTTTTTTTCTTTTTTTTTTTCTTTCTTTTTTTCAAGGTCACCAACTGCACTGGTCACAGTTATTGTCTTTACTGTCACCAACATCTAGATATCCAGATGTCCAGCTTTTTCTATCACTTTTAATCTTCTGAAATTCTATTATTTGATAAATTTTCTTCTTCTCCATCTCAGCAACCAAATATTGTCCTTTCATCTGTATTAATTGAGGCATATGAATTTCAAATCATTAAGACAGATTCTTGTTTGTACATACGCCATCAATTTCTATGATTAAATCCTTGTCTGTTCAGTTTCAAATACATCAACCCCTTCTGTCCTAGTCATGCTTATTTTGTATCATCTTCCTGCGTTTACTGTAATAGAAATGGCAGTCTCATCCCTATCTACACACATTCTGATTTGTTGATATCATCTTGATCTGTATATAATTCGTTCTTAAAGTAGTGTTCTGGGTTGCCATGCATAGTAAGTTTCTTTTTTTTTTTTTTAAGTGTCCTCTTTGCAGCCATTTTGCTTCATTTCTATGAATATAAGAATATTTCTGATTTAAGAATGATTTCTATGATTATAAGAATATTTGCCATTCCTCCACATTGTGTGTAAATATGGTGGAGGAATACATTTGTCTCATTTTTGGATCACTTGTCATTATTCAAAATGGATATAGCAGCATTATACTACTACTGAATTGGCAAATAATTACAATATTGATTGCAATTGTGCTCAGTTTTTTTTCTGAGTTTTTATTGTCATTCTCATGGCAGCTGGGAGAAATGATTTGGGATGAGAAAACAAGGATGAGGTTCATGCCTTTCTTCATGCCATTAACAGTAAAACTAGAATTCTAGCTTGTTATTTTAATGTTCTGCCTTACTGACTAAAGGAAATCATTTGTATCATTGAAAATGTGAAATTCCAAGCATCTATTAAAAAAGAAAACATTAGGCTGGAGATTCGATTTCCCATGTAGTTGTAATCAACCAGGAAATTTTATGTACACTTGATTCCTTTATTGAATTTTGTCAGCTGATGTCATCTTTTACATGCTTCATTGCATCTGCTTGGTCACAGGAACTAAAACTAGGCCAACAGAAGTCCTTAACAAGTTTCTAGCATCATGTCACGTCACAAGTTCTGCAACATATTAGGGTTATAGGAACGCAATGTGTACTGCAGCTATAACAGCAGGGCAAGATGACCTTACAGTCAATCACTCTTCAGGCTATTTTTGAATTCAGTATATCTTCCCTTAGATTGGGGCTTACAGCCATATCATGTTGAAACACCAGTTTACATATGATCACCGAAGTTAAGCAACACCAAGCCTGGTCAGTACCTAGATGGGTGATCACTTGTGAATACCATGTGCTGTAAGCTTGGATGTGCATGTGATGTGATGAATAATGGCTCGGAATTGTTAATTGGAAAGCAGAGTTCCCATTCTATTCACTTGTGTGCAAATACTCTTGGAAAAAGTATGAATCCACTGCTTCTTCCCCCCCAAGCTATGAGTTAATTAGTAAGACATTTATTATAACCATTAGTATCTTCAAAAAAAGAAAAGTTTGTACTAAAAATAGTTTCTGGCTTTAAATAATCTGCAAAGGGTTGATAAGCCATAGAAAACAAATCACTCAATCTTAGACTGGTTGCCACCTCCAGAGAACCCAGTCAGCCCTGCTATTTAACCCATAGCTGGAGGAGGAAAGAAGTGGATTATTATCTTTTCCTAAGTGCATTTGTGCGAAAGTGAATGTACCAAAAAGAACTCTGACATAATTTGAACTTGACTCACTAATTTCTCTTTCAGGGTCATTAACTGTTACACTATCCACCCATCCATAAAATATAAATTTGCTATAAAAATTGATAAATTAATTTTATAATCATTGGTGCAAGTGCTGATAAAAAAAAAAAATCCATCACATTGGGAGTCACTTAACCTATTAGATTCATGCTGCAACAAAGGCGTGTTTAAGGCAAATTAACCTGACAGGTACCATCCCTCTTCAATCTGGTTTTGAATTCAGTTTTCTCCTTCTCTTAGACTGGTTGCCACAAGGAAGATGGATTAATGTTTTTTCCAAAGGCACTAGTACAAAGCAAATAAAACATAATTGGCTGGGATTTGAACTTGGCATGCTGATTTTATTTACTACACTATCAGCCAAACACTATTTGTGCATTCTATGAGATATACGTAATAAAACTTAAAAAATACGGAATGACTTTTAAATATTTATCTTTGTCACTGCAATGTTCCAATTGTGACAATTGTACTTCAGATCACCAAGTATGATTTTCATATACTCACAACTTGAACATGCAAAAGGAACACAAGAAACCTTATTGCCAATGTTTACAAGTGCAGCTTTGAGGTTTTTTGGTTTTTTTTTTTCCAATAAGGCACCTTCATTCCACCGAATTGTAAGCCAAACCCAGGATGTCAACTTGTCCTTTAATATCCCAGCAATATAATCATAATAATTTTTTTAAAAACACATTAATTACTTTTGTGATGTCAACGAACACTTGTTGCTACTTTTGTGATGTCAATGAACACTCGTCACTTTTGTAATGCTCATTGTAGTAGAGACATTGTAATCGCAGATACAACTATAGTAATGCCGTTGAACAATACTGGTGTCGGACACCTTTGAATAACACTTGCACTAATAGTACTTGCTCGATGATACTCACTCGAAAAGTAACCATCGAATAGTAATCTGTGTAGTGATCAGTATAGAGAATAACGATCTGTATAGTAATAGAGGAGAGGGTAGAAATGGTGATCAGTTAGACACCCTTCTAATTCCCATATATACATTTCCTTTACATCACATGATCTACTTATTCAAAATGGGATTGCCTGTATTTGCTCTCTGGTGATCAGTGTTCAAAGTGACACTGTATTCCTATATGACAATTACTTTCTCACCATTAAAAAACTGATCTCAGATGCTCAAAATGTTTCAAGTGACATTGATCAGAGCAGTGGTATTTGGATAAAAGATGAGGAGGTCAATCAATCACCATTAACCCTGCTGACACTCTGATCAGTTTTGGTATTGTCTTGGAGGCTGGGACAATAAACTTGAGAGGCTTCAGGGTTCCATAATGTTTGCCACTGATTGGCAGACTAAGTTTTCTTTTTGTTTCTGCTAATTTTATTATAGGTCAAAACCGGTTTCCTGGGTGCCGCTGTAAGGCTCAGTGTAATACCAAGCAGTGTCCGTGCTTCTTAGCTGTTCGGGAATGTGACCCAGACCTGTGTCAAACATGTGGAGCCGGTAAGTTTTCTTTTTCTTTTTTATTTGAACTCCTATTTCCTATTATTATCTTTGCTTTCAGAGGGTTTCTTTTGAAATTGTTTTAGACTATTTTTTTCTGAATTGCCAGCAAATAGTGCTTACTGTTTGATTTTACTAGTGTATAAAAAAAAGTGTTTACAAGAGACTGCAGAAAAATTCTCAACTGAAGAAATTTCTTTTATAAACCAAGTACCTGGAGCAACAGTCCACAAGGTTTGAAAAAGTTTGGTCTTTGCCAAGACCCTCAGGCTTCACCTACCTTTTTTAACTTCTTTTTTTTTTTTTTTTTTCTTCTTTCTTTTTTTCTTTTTCATTCTTTTTTTTTTTTTTCTTTCTTTCTTTTTTTTTCTTTCTTCATTCTTTTCTTTTTTTCTTTTCATTCTTTTCTTTTTTCTTTTCATTCTTTTCTTTCTTTCTTCTTCTTTCTTTTCTTTCTTTTCTTTTTCTTTTTCTTTCTGTCTTCTTTTCTTTCTTTCTGTCTTCTTTTCTTTCTCTTTCTTTCTGTCTTCTTTTCTTTCTCTTTCTTTCTTTCTGTCTTCTTTTCTTTCTCTTTCTTTTCTTTCTGTCTTCTTTTTTTCTTTCTCTTTTCTTTCTGTCTTCTTTTTCTTTCTTTCTTTCTTTTCTTTCTTCTTTTTTCTTTCTTTTCTTTCTTTTTCTTTCTGTCTTCTTTTCTTTCTTTTCTTTCTTTTCTTTCTTTCTTTTTCTCTTTTCTTTTCTTTCTTTTCTTTTCTGTCTTCTTTTCTTTCTCTTTCTTTCTGTCTTTCTTTCTCTTTCTTTCTGTCTTCTTTTCTTTCTCTTTCTTTCTTTCTTCTTTCTTTCTTTCTTCTTCTTTCTTCTTTCTTTTCTCTTTCTTTCTTTCTGTCTTCTTTTCTTTCTTTCTCTTTCTTTCTTCTTTTCTTTCTTTCTCTTTCTTTCAGTCTTCTTTTCTTTCTTTCTCTTTCTTTCAGTCTTCTTTTCTTTCTTTCTCTTTCTTTCAGTCTTCTTTTCTTTCTTTCTCTTTCTTTCAGTCTTCTTTTCTTTCTTTCTCTTTCTTTCAGTCTTCTTTTCTTTTAGTCTTCTTTCTCTCTCTTTCTGTCTTCTTTCTCTTTCTTTCAGTCTTCTTTTCTTTCTTTCTTTCTTTCTCTTTCTTTCTCTTTCTTTCTTCTTTTCTTTCTTTCTCTTTCTTTTCAGTCTTCTTTTCTTTCTTCTCTTTCTTTCAGTCTTCTTTTCTTTCTTTCTTTCTTTCTCTTTCTTCTTTTTCTTTCTTTTCTTTCTTTCTTTCTTTCTCTTTCAGTTTTTTTCTTTCTTTCTTTTTTCAGTCTTCTTTTCTTTTTCTTTCTTTTTCTTTCTTTCTTTTCTTTCTTTTCTTTCAGTTTCTTTCTTTCTTTCTTTTCTTTCTTTCTTTCTTTTCTTTTCTTTCTTTTCTTTCTTTCTTTTCTTTCTTTTCTTTTCTTTCTTTCTTTCTTTCTTTCTCTTTCTTTCAGTCTTTTCTTTTTTTTTCTTTCTTTTCTTTCTTTCAGTCTTCTTTTCTTTCTTTCTCTTTCTTTCTCTTCTTTTCTTTCTTTTCTTTCTCTTTCAGTCTTCTTTTTTTTCTTTCTTCTTCTCTTCTTCTTTCTTTTCAGTCTTCTTTTCTTTCTTTCTTTCTTTCTTTTCTTTTTTCTTTTCTTTCAGTCTTCTTTTCTTTTTTCTTTTCTTCTTTCTTTCTTTTCTTTTCTTTTCTTTTAGTCTTTTCTTTTCTTTCTTTTCTTCTTTTCTTCTTTCTCTTTCTTTTCGTCTTTCTTTCTTTCTTTTTCTTTTCTTTCTTTTCTCTTTTCTTTCTTCTTTTCTTTCTTTTTCTTTCTTTCTGTCTTCTTTTCTTTTTTTTTCTTTTTTTCTTTTTCTTTCTTTTTTTTCTTTCTTTCTCTTTCTTTTTCTTTCCTTCTTTCTTTTTCTTTTCTTTCTTTCTTCTTTTCTTCTTTCTTTCTTTCTTTTCTTTCTTCTCTTTTCTTTCTTTCTTTCTTCTTTCTTTCTTTCTTTTCTGTCTTCTTTCTTTCTTTCTCTTTCTGTCTTCTTTTCTTTCTTTCTTTTCTGTCTTCTTTTCTTTCTTTTCTCTTTTTTTCTTTCTCTTTCTTTTCTTTTCTTTCTTTCTTCTTTTCTTTCTCTCTTTTTTTCTTTCTCTTTCTTTTTTCTGTCTTTTCTTTTTCTTTCTTGTCTTCTTTCTTTCTGTCTTTTTTTCTTTCTCTTTCTTTTTTTTTCTTTCTTCTTTCTTTCTTTTTTCTTTTCTTTCTCCCTTTTTCTGTCTTCTTTTCTTTCTGTCTTTTTTCTCTTTCTTTTTTCTTTTTCTTTTCTTTCTTCTTTTCTCTTCTGTCTTCTTTCTCTTTCTGTCTTCTTTTCTTTCTGTCTTCTTTTCTTTCTGTCTTCTTTTCTTTCTGTTTCTTTTCTTTCTGTCTTCTTTCTCTTTCTTTCTGTCTTCTTTTCTTTCTGTCTTCTTTTCTTTCTGTCTTCTTTTCTTTCTGTCTTCTTTTCTTTCTGTCTTCTTTTCTTTCTGTCTTCTTTTCTTTCTGTCTTCTTTTCTTTCTGTCTTCTTTTCTTTCTTTCTCTTTCTTTCTGTCTTCTTTTCTTTCTTTCTCTTTCTTTCTGTCTTCTTTTCTTTCTTTCTCTTTCTTTCTGTCTTCTTTTCTTTCTTTCTCTTTCTTTCTGTCTTCTTTTCTTTCTTTCTCTTTCTTTCTGTCTTCTTTTCTTTCTCTTTCTTTCTGTCTTCTTTTCTTTCTCTTTCTTTCTGTCTTCTTTTCTTTCTCTTTCTTTCTGTCTTCTTTTCTTTCTTTCTCTTTCTTTCTGTCTTCTTTTCTTTCTTTCTCTTTCTTTCTGTCTTCTTTTCTTTCTTTCTCTTTTATTTATTTTTTTTTTTTTTTCGTGTGTTTGCTCTCTGGTGATCTGTGTTCAAACTCCAGTGTTGGCAACGATAATTTATTCCTATATGACAATTACTCTCTCAACATTAATTTTTTTTTTTTTGAGGGTGCAATGAACATCTACTGTTTTAAATTTTTCTTTGTATTGTGTATATAGATTTTATTTTTTGTATATAAATAAAAGAATGGATGAGGAACATTTTCATATAATGCATTACGTTTTGCATGCCTGTTTTGACATTGGGTGGGGGGGGAATTGAAATGCAAAATAAGAAAGAAATACATTAAAAATACTTATATAATTCAACTTACTTTAACTTTTATTACTCCTTGTAGAGTTCTGGGGGTGCAATAAGAAGCAAAATCACTAAGAAGGCTTTCATTTCATCAAAAAAAAGCGACATGTTTACATAAAAGAAGACACTATCATTTGTTTGCTCTTTCTCTCACCTTATTCATGATTATTTTTCTCATTGACAAATAAAGTTATTTTGTCATTTATAAATAGACAAAATAATTCACCTTCAGAAAGGTGATCAGGTATATCAGTAGTCACCAGTAGCTTCCATAAAATTAGTCAGCCATGAATGATAGTAGCTGCTAGTGGTCATTGTCTCTTTCCTCCATGTCACTAGTATGGTTATCATCTCTGACCACTTCACCATCAATATCCACTCAAGTAAAGCCTTCAAAATCATCATTGGAGGCATATCAAAGAAAAACTCCTGAATGAAAGCTATGTTGGATATTGATGTGGCCATTTTTGTTTGCAAACACTCAAAAAAATAATGTAGGTTTAATCAGTGTTACACCTCATGTAGAGAATTCAAAATGGTGTTGGAAAACAGAAGTTTAACCTTGTTTTAAAGCAATAGTAGGCAATTTCCAGCTTAAAATGCTGGAAATAACAGTTGACAACTGTTTATTTATAGCAGCCATTTCAAGGCGACAGAATGTGCCTAGAGCAGCAAAGGGAGAGAATTCTATAGCAACAATTTTTGCCTGCAGAATTGAAAAGGTTGAAACAGTTGATAAGTGTTTATTTATAGCAACCATCTCAAGGCGACAGAATGTGCCTAGAGCAGCAAAGGGAGGGGATTCTATGGCAACAATTTTCGCTTGCAGCATGGAAAAGATTAAAGGAAGCAGAATAATCCATTAATCTGAGACTTTATTTTTTCTTATAATTAATATTGGATTTTGGAGGTGGTTATAATAGTTTATAAACGTTTTTTTTTTTTTTTTTTTCTTCTGGATTTCTTATTGCTTCTTTACTTTTCAACTACTTTTCATGTTGTCAACTTGCATCCTAATTTATTTGATTTGGGTTCTACTATCTAAGTCTTTACTGAAAGGGAAACTTCATTTCTATTTCTCTAAATACAAGGCAATTTTAAATGACATATGTTACCATCACATTTTGACAGCAATAGGTAAACTAGTTGGCTGATAAACTTCTAGTTACAAACATATACACTTTTGCCTTTTATTTGTTTATTCTGTTATTTTGTTACACTCCAGGCTATGAGTTTTAATCTCCTGTTGTTTTAAACTGCTTCTGCTTAATTTTGTACATGTCAGGCTAGCATGGATTTCAGTATTGTCAGAGGTTGGAGAGAATGCTATACATCAATATGGAACCACTAATGTTTCAAAACTTGCTTAGAATGGTTTTGTCTGTGCAATTCACATTACTGGGAATGAATCAAACCAGTTAATGTATCAGACATCACTTTTCTTTTTCTTTTTTTTTTCCTCAAGACCCTCTCTTTACTTTAAAAGGTTAATAATACCTGAAGAAGACTGGAGAATGAATGGCTTCATTGTTCCCGTAACAATAAAATTAACAAAGAATGAGATCAGTAGTCAAAAGAACTCTTGAAACAATGTCAACTCAAGATTACCAAAGACATCTTTGTGCACCTGAAGAAGGCTGGGAAGTGGATTAGCTAACACTTTGTGGTTTAAAAAAGAAAAAAAAACGTCCCAAAGAATTGGTTCAGTAATCCAAAGAACTCTTGGGGTGATAAGTCTTAAAAAGCACTAAAGTTGACTAGGCCACTCATAAAAATTTGGGAAGATTTGCAGGGTATTTTTTTGTTAATTAGACAGCATTTGTCTTAATCAAAAAATATTGATTTTTCTATCAATTTAAAGGTGAAGTCCTGTTCATAATTGCAATTTTAGTGTAAAATCAATTTCTGACTTCTTTAAAGACTTATCTGTACTTAGTTTTTATTTATAGGTAAATGCTTAATTTTTTTTTTTTTTTTCCTAAACTTTTTAAAAAAATTTTAAAACCTCTAAGATGGCGCTCAGAAACACATGCACAAACGATGGGAGATAATAATTATCTTAAATGAAGAATAAATGGGCATATACTTTTATTAATTCATGTAAATTTTTGTTCTTTAATTAAATATATATATATATATATATATATATATATATATGTGTGTTAATTATTAAAAAAATTCCAGTGGTGGGGCAGCAGCTCAGAAAAAGAAATCAGAATTGAGTTTAAATTCAAGTTTGTTGTATTCATTTATCTGCAAATGTCCTTGGGAAAATTATGAAATCATTGCCTCTCCTCCTAGCTATGGGTAAATAGCAGGACCAACTGGGCCCTGAAGCCTTGGTTGGCAACAGGTCTAGGAGAAGAAAAAACCATATTTCTACTTCAAATTTCTATCAAGAAGTCTGTTACATTCACATAAATACCCTTGGGGAAAAGTCTGACTCCATTGTTTCTCCACCAAGCTAAGGGTAAATAGTGGGACAGACTTAGCCCTATAGCCCTAGTTGGCAACAGAACTAGGAGAAGGAAAACTCTCAATTCAAACCGGCCTGGAAAGAAGTGGACGCAATCACACAATCTTGACCAAGACAAATCACTGCAGCTTAAAGAATTCTAATTAACATAAATTAATACCCCAAAATCCCACCCCTTGGAAGTTGGGCAAGTGGACCAGTCTTTTTAAAGTAGTGCCCCTTAAAATTATGAGGATTTTTTTTTTCTTCTTTTTTATTTCATCCACAATGTCAACCTCTGGCTGGGCATAAGATTTAAGATTGTCATTCAGTTCATCTTTTGTTCGTGGCAGAGATGTTATAAATTATCTGGAGAATTTTTTGTTGTTGTTCCCCTTGAACTGAATCTGTTCTGACTTATGAAAGCAACCTCATATCCCTTTTCTCCTTTTTATTTGTAGATCAGTTTGACACCCAGAAAATCTCATGTAAAAATGTCAGTGTTCAGCGTGGTTTAAGGAAAGTAAGTATATCTCCAATATTGTCATTTTCATTGTATTCAATTATTTGGAGAGTCACATCAAATATTTGTAGATGGAATAAAAAAGAAAAGTTGAATTTGTCCAGAACAGAATTGTCATTATTTTTAATAGCAAAAGTCCATTGTGAAATTAACTTCTTAACTGAAAGAATCAAAGATTACGTGGTATTGACAGGAATTAATTGAGAAAAAGGACGACTTTGTTTATATGCTTTAATTTTGAAATAAATTGGAACTGGTGATGAAGTGTAGATTTTATTGTTTGGAAAGCCATGTCAAATATTTAGAGATGGAATGAAAATTTCTTGAATTTCAGTAAAAGGCTGAATATTCGTCATTACTAACAAGGTGTTGGAATTTCTTTTTAAATTCTTTTCTGAAACAAATATGAACATCTAAATGAAAGCTCTCCTCTAAAGTATTTGTCAGCAATTTTCGAATTGTGTTTTTTGTTCTCTTTGTGTGTGTGTGTATATATATATATATATATATATATATATATATGTGTGTGTGTGTATATTAACTGTGTAAATATAAGTGTTTGCATATATATAATTGGGTGTGTGCACACATGTTATATTTGTATGTGCAGATATGTTATTTGTATGTTCATATATATAATATGCACGGTACTTATTAGAAAGCGTTCAATATCAGAGATAGAGCTAACATATATGGTTGGATAGATGTGAGTTTGTGACCCTGGGTTTAGTGATCGTCAGTTTGTCTGACGATCGCTAAAGCGTGAAACTCAGGGTCACAAACTCACATCTATCCAACCATATATATATATGCGCATTGCTTGCATAAATATATAAAATTGTGTGTATAAATGTTGAAATAAAAATATATATATATATATATATATATATATATATATATATATATATATATATATATATATAGAGAGAGTGAGTAAGAGAATGTCAACAAATGCACAAAGAAAAAAATAGTGCTGAAGACATATGTCTGCTGTAAGCAAAAATTTGTGATCGACTCAGTAGCCAAGATCAAAACGCATGCTGGCAGATAGGGATTTTTTTTTTTTTTTTTTTTTTTTTTTTTTTTGAAAGTATCTTATCTAACATTGTTTCCTATTACTATAAACAATATTTTTTGGAAAATGTTTTTTGATTTGCTATGCCTGTTTTTGGGGGTTTTTTTAAGTTAATAACAAGCTAAAAAAGATTGTACTTCCAACAGGAATTGGAACTGTATTTGTTTTATTTTTATTTTTATTTTTTTATTATTTTTTTAACCACTTAAACTAAAATATCCTTGTACCAGTTTGGCCACACAGCTTGACTGAGAGCATAAAGTTTTCATTCTCTGTTGAGGAAAGCATGTTTTTCTCATCGGGTATTATATCTGCTTGCTTCACTTTTGTACCTGAAATGTATGCAACACTGAAATTTTATTTTATTTTTTTTTTTTTTTTTTTTTGCCAGCATTATTTCTCAATTCTATAAATCTCTGACTTCAAGCAAATGCAGTTTTTATGTAATATTTACCACATGCTCGGGCAACCAACATCATATTCTGTTTTTTAATTAATTTTCAAGGTCTAGAGCAAGCACACAAAAAAATTCAAGCTTTAGATTAAATTACATAAATTTATTTTTATTTTTTCTTTAATTACAAGTGTGTTTTATTTGCAAATATAAATGCTTACAGTTAAAAAAAATAAATTGTGTTTATATATATATATATATATATATATATATATATATATATTTATTTTAAAAGACATTTTTATGTTTAACGTTCTTTTTATAGATACAAGTATTTAAGTAAATGCTCTGTTTATAATAAACGGTATTAAATAACATTTATTCGGCCTGAATGTCCGAGAAATTTTCATAGAAAATATTCGTCCTTGACAGAACCGTCATTTACGCTGACGTGTTTTACCAATCGCCACAAAGGAGTCCGGTAGGCAAGGTTGAATTTACTGCTTATAAACTTCAATCTTCCATGAATCTCGTACATTCATAACTGTTCTGGCGTATCAAATGTAAACAAATGACGTCATATATCCTGTCAAAGGACTAATATTTTCTATGAAAATTTCTCGGACATTCAGGCCGGTAAATGTTATTTAATACTGTTTATTATAAACAGAGCATTTACTTAAATACTTGTATCTATAAAAAAGAACGTTAAACATAAAAATGTCTTTAATAAAATAAATTGTCGGACTTTGTCCATTTCTTAATATATATATATATATATATATATATATATATAAAGGCTTAAACACTAATATTTCATGGTTACAATTTATTACTTTGGAATTGTAATCACTGTAAAAAATTATAACTATGGAATATTAATGTTTGAGCCATTTATATTTTATTCTTGCTCAGTCCTGGACATTGAGCTCTACCTGGATTCTATCCTCTTGGAAATATATATATCAACCTCTAATATTATATATGCATACTTCAGGAAAGGAAAAGCATTTTGTATATTGTAATACTAAATTTATTCAAGCATAACAGGAGTCATATAAGTTACCTTTGGACTCTACAATCACAAGAGATGCTCAAAATAGTGGCCTTTAGCTTCCAGATATTTGTTAGTATGGCAAACTACTGCTTGGGCAATGTTGGCCAAAGTGTCTAGTGGGATTGCTAAACATGCATTTTCAATTTCTTGTCTAAGAGCCACCAATGTAGTCAGTTTTCTGTGATACACAATATCATTTAGAACTTGTTGATGCTACATCCATGTGGGTAATGGCATGTCAAGAATATTGTACTACAGTAATCAGTGTTATTGCAATGTGATAAAATGATGAAAGGCAAGTTTTTCACTTTTTTGAAGTGTGTATATATATTTTTTGGCAGATATATATATATAGTTTGTGTGTGTAGTTTGTGCATGTATGTGTGTAGTTTGTGTATATGTGTAGTTTGTGTATATGTGTGTGTATAGTTTGTGCATATATATGTGTGTAGAGTGTTTCATATATACACATGTGTGTATGTTTTTATATATGGACTCATGGCCAAGTGGTTAGATTGTTCGCAATCTGATCATGAAACCTGTGTTCGAATCTCATCCTGATGTTATTGGACTGGAGGGCTTGATCTCAGCATTCGGCACCTCTGGAAAGTGCCTGAAAACCATACTACGGGTTGATCTAAGCCTTGTGAGTGAAATTGAGTAGATGTAACCCTTGGGGGCTGTTGATAGCTGTGCTAGCACAAAGTCACAAGTCATTGTGACCGAGGTCTTGTGCATGCTGGCCTTGTTCACATTGTCGATCGTACTAAATTCCCAGAAACTGTGACTATCGTCTGCTCAGCATAGTTACAGTATAAACCACAGAGCAGGTGTCTGCAATAGGTATTGGCTAGCCACCCTAGTAGACAGGTATCCTCGAATCCGTATGGCCAGCTTTTATATATTATATTTTTAGGTGGCAAAATTTTAAAAAATATATTTAAAAAGGTGCGATCAGGTAATATACATACTTATATTTAACATGGAAAAATAATTTTATATACTGTAAGTAATTCTATTGCATTTACTTGTTTTTTCTTTATGGAAAAAAAAGAAGAAAAAAAAAGTCTATTAAAATAACAGTGAAAATATTTTAAAGTTGTATTTAAAATTGTAGTTAAAACGAATTCTAAACTAAACATCTTTTAAAATGGTAGTTAAATAAAATGTATTCTAACCTAAACACCTCTCAAAAAGTACTACTGGCACTTAAATGAATCCAATAAAACACCTACTGAAAAATGAAATTATGACGAAAAACTAGATGATGTAGGCCATTGAATGACCCATGACCTTTGTGCTACATATGAAACTATATATTACTAAGTTTATATATAAAAAGAAAAATAAATAAAGTTTACTAAATCAGAGAAATGAATTAGCTATTTTTGCCGTAACTGCCATAAATATTACTTAAATAATATTTAAATATAAAAGTTTAAAAATCGTAATATACGTATACTTGATATGGAAAAATAATTTTACTTACTATAAGTAATTCCAATACATTTCCTTCTATTATAAAGTAATATAGTCTATTAAAACTAACAATGAAAATATTTTAAAGTTGTAATTAAAATTGTAGTTAAATAAAATGAATTCTAACCTAAACTTCTTTTACTTAGTACTACACGCACTTAAAAGAATCCAATAAAACACCCATAGTAAAATAAAATTAATATGAAATGCCAGAAGATGTAAGCTTTTGAATGACCCATGTCCTTTGTACTTACATGAGAAACAATATATTACTAGATTTATATAAAAAATAAAAGTTTACTAAATCAGTGAAATTAAGTAACTATTTTTGCTGTCATTGTCATAAATTTTACTTAAATATTTAAATACAAAAAAAAAAAAAAATTTTGTAACCTAATATACATATACTTGATGTAAAAATAATTCTACATACTAAAACATTTAGTTATTCTTAAAAAATATAGTATATTAAAAATTAAAATATTTCAAATCGTAGTTAAATAAAACGTATTCTAACCTAAACACCCCCAAAAATCTTTAAATATACAAATAGAAAAAATGCCGTAAGAATTTTTGCCGTTAACAATAAATTTAAAAAAAATCCAGACAACATGCATTCAACGGATGTCGGATTTCATTGAAAAATGCACCCCATCCCCTACCAAAACGTAACTAATAACGGATACATCAAAATACAGACATAATGAACACCTAGACACCTCTTGTCCAGTTGAAGTAGATTTATCTGTAACCTTGGAAACGTGAATTATGATTTTAGCTGTGTCTTTAAAACCCAGAAATTTTAAAAGTTACTCCAAAATTTGCTTGAGGATGAAATGGAACTAATGTCTTTAATTACAAAATTAAATTCATAGCTTTTAGCTTCCATTTTTGAAACAGGGTTAGAAATGTGTAGCGAAAAAAAAAACATTTTAAATGAATCAATTTATATATATATATATATATATATATATATATATGCACACACACACTTTTATCAGAAGTTTTTAAAAAATTAACTCTTTGTTATCGTTCTCATTTTTTAAATTGTACTTAAATTTTAAAATCGACCATCCAGATTTTTTTTTATACTATATTAGTTTATCTTTTATTCTGAAATTACACTTTGGGACATCTACCAATCCTACTTGTAAAATCTCGAAGTATACTACAAATTATTTTCCTACTTGCTCTTTAGTATTATTTTAATATAACATGCACAACTTAGAATCAATATTGAGTTTTATTTTAATTTTTTATAATTATTATTGGAGTTTAGGGTGAGTATTAATGTGAGAAGTTTTTTTTTTGTTTTTTTTTCCTCTTTTAACATCCACGAATGCATATTAGGTTACTTATTGCCTCCTTAACTTTCAACTAGTTTTCCTGAGGTCAACTTGTACTATAACTTATTCATTTTAATTTGGGTTCTTGTATCTAAAGTTTTTATTGAAGAAAAAAAATTTTTTTTTTCTATTTCTCTATAAATGACTTGCATGTTACCATCTTTTTTTGTGACAGCAATAAGCAAACTAGTTGGCCTAATAACTTCTATATCTGTCTATATTTCTGAGATGAAGTAATGTAACTATTTACATTGTTTGGACTGTTGTCCTCATCTTCATTGCTATATTCACAAACAACATTTCAGGCATTGTACACTCTGGCCTTCTTCGGGTAATATACATTGGAATTTTGAACTGAAAGCTTTAATCTATGGGAAATTCCAATGTATATTACCTGAAGAACGTTGGAGCATACAATGACTGAAACATTGTGAATGTGGCAGTAAAGATGAGGACAACAATCCTAATGATGTAAATAGTGTAAATGTAAACTTCTAGTTACAAACATATATGGTTTTTGCCTTTTCTATGTTCATTCTGTTATCTTGTTGCCCTCCAGGCCACCAGTTTTATCTTGATATGTTTTAAACTGCATCTCCCCTTAATTTTACAGCATTTGTTACTGGCTCCAAGCGAGGTTGCTGGCTGGGGTATTTTCCTAAAGGTATCAGCAGAGAAAAATGAGTTCATATCTGAGTATTGCGGAGAAGTAAGTATTTTTGTTTATATATATATATATATAATATAAAAGGCTCAAACATTAATAGGTCTGAATTCGATCGTGATTACGATTCCAATGTAATAAGTTATAACCATGGAATAATTAGTGTTTGAGCCTTTTATATTATATTCTTACTCTGTTCTGGACATTGAGTTCTACCTGAATTCTATCCTCTTGGGAATATATATACCACTAATATTATCTGTCTATCTCTCTCTCTCTCTCTCTATATATATATATATATATATATATATATATACACCAATAATATTATCTCTCTCTCTCTATATATATATATATATATATATATATATATATATCAATAATATTATCTCTCTCTATATATATATATATATATCACTATCTATCTTCTCTCTCTCTATATATATATATATATATATATTCTCTCTCTCTCTCTATATATATATATATATATATATATATATATAAAGTTATATATATATATATATATACATATATATATATATATATTATATGATTTGAGAGCTGATTGATGCATGAAGGTCAATATAATTATAGCATCCCGACTCCAGAGTTTCATAGGACTCCTCCTCTCTGGGTATTATTCCATCCACTTGTCAGGGAATATTCATAAATGCTTAACTTTTTCATCAGTGCTGGGTTTCTTATTTTGAACACATTTCTCTTTTATATATACATTCCATGTGTAACACAAACACGCAAATGTGTACAGAAATGGCTGTGTGCACTGAAAACATATTAATGAGAAATAAAATACTTTTGGAAAAAAAAATTATAGGACAGAACAGCACTAAAAGATAAGAATACTGAAAGATTAATGCCTATATGTTAAGAACTAATAGCTGAGCATAGAGATGCGCATTGTCTGGGGGTCTCTGATGGACTGTAGCTTTGATTCTGGTTTACCGTGTGTACACACATGCACACACTGTATTTCTTACTCTATCTGGGTAGGGAGTGGGTAAATAAAATTATTAGAAACAAAATCTTTTTGGTCCAGTCACCAAAGTTAAGCAACGTTGAGACTGGTCAGTACTCAGTATGGGGGACCTCTGAGGAATACTAGGTGTATAAACAATATGATGGGTCTAGCAAGCCAGTGATGGATAGTCTTACTAATTATACTAACAGAAGACGTCAATACATGGAAGTGCTTCTGGACTGGTTGGTCGTAAAACCCTATCTGGAGTTGGGTGAGTGGAGTGGAAACAAAATTTTGATTGAAATGAAAATCATGTCTAATGTGTCAACTAATGTTGCGTGTATAAAATCTGAAAAATTTGCCTCTGTGATTGATGGATGCAGAAAACACTGATATAGATTAACAGATAACAAACTGTCAAAAAACATCTAAAAATCCAACAGAATTTTTTGCCTCCATCTATTTGAAACTCAAAAGGTACCTTAATTTTCTACTGGTTTATATATATATATATATATATATATATATATATATATGACAATAGGAAAACTAGTTATTGCTGACGCATTTCGTCCAATGTGGACTTTCTCGAAATGCGTCAGCAATAACTACAGTTTTCTTATTGTCATTTATATTTATAAATATTGTCTTTTCTACAGGTTAACGTAACAGCAAAATTGTCAAAATCATGTAGCAGCATGTGATAATTCTCTATCCCACAATGTTTTAATCTAAAAAAAAAACATTAAACTAATCGAGTTTCTTTTTTCCAGGTTTTCTGATAAAATGTTTAGCCATCTTGACACCATTTGTTGTAATAATCACTAAAAAAAAAAGCCCTTGAAGTTATTCAATTAAAAAGGAACAGGTTAAAATTGTTTTGTGTCAGACCCACTATATCTTCCCAACTGAGTAATGGTGAGAGGAAAAAGATCATTCAGGCCTTCAGTAACAGCATGAACATTCATACTCTGGCTTCCATCGTCAAACCCCATTCAAGAAACATCAAGAGAACAGTGAATAAGTTTAAAGAAGGGGGAACAATAGAGAGGAAAACTGGATCAGGAGTTCAAAACCGGAAGTGGGATCATCATTTCAACTTAGAGTAAAATACATTCTTATTTTTAAGTAGAGTCCAATAGTGTTATAAAAACCTCAGAGAATTCCAGTAAGTTATCTTTAATCATTTCTAAGATACAACGGCTCGAAGCTTAATGTAACAATTGGACAATTTTGCTGTTACATGATTTGGGCAATCTTGCTGTTATAACTGATATATGACAAAGTGGAAAAAAATTTTCTTGTGACACCTTTTATCTTTTAGGACTTCATTGGACAAAATTTGCTATGTTGGTGTGACTACAAATGCGCTTGAATGAGGGATGCTGGGAATTTTTAATTTTAATCTAGCTGATTTCATTTTGATTCTTTTTTTATTTGCATCACTTTTGTTAGTAGATATCCCAAATTGTAATAACAGAAATTCTATCAGGAATGGTGAAATATTGTAAAAGCCCCGAAAAATTTCCAGCATACCTTGTGCGCGCATATATATATATATATATATAGTGTGTGTGTGAAGTACAGTGGAGTATTGGGTAACATCTCAGACTGTAGGCTCAGAGAGCCGAGTTCGTATTCCACTCAAATCTATTACATTCACTTGCAGGTTAATATGATTGGGAAAGGTGTGAATCCTCTTCTTCTCCCTCCAGCTATGCGTAAATAGCAGGACAGACTGGGTTCTATAGCCTTAGATGGCAACTGGTCTATTGAAAAGGACAACTCTGAATTCAAAACCTGCGGAGGGTCATTTGTGGGGACCTTGTGGCACTCGATACACCAGGTCTCTGTATTCTGCCCTTCAAAAAGTGTGGTTGGCTCTGCATGAAGCCTTCACCACTATAATCAAATCATATGTGCTGGTGTCTGGGCTGTCAGTTCCTAGAAACTCAGCTGCTTGACCTTCATGCATCAAATACGACAGGAGAGTCCACCATTTTTTGTGTGTGTGTGAATAGGAAAAATCTATGACAAAGTGGGAAAAGTTTTCTTGATATATATCATCCTTTAGGACTTCAGTTGACTAAATTTGTTATGTTGGTGTAGCTACACATGTGCATAAATGAGGGATGCTGAGAATTTTTTTTTTTTTTTTTTAATTTAGCCAATTTCATTTTGATTCTTTTTCTTTCCATCACTTTTGTTAATAAAGAAAAAGAATCTAAATGAAATCAGCCATTCTAGAATTCCTAAAAGTAACAAAACTCAAAAATATAAGAAGAAAAGCGAATAAACACCCAGATACAAAATTCAGCTAAAATCAAATTACATCCCCACCCTGATATAATAAACTGATAAAAGAATTTGTCTGCAAAATACACCCCCCCCCCCAAAAAAAAACTTAAAGCAACCCAATTCGTGGGGTGGGGAAATGACCTGTGGCATGAGTGTGCCAGTAAAATAATCTAAATCTTTGTCTTCATCACCATTCTTGTCTTGTTCGTTCGTTCGTTCGTTCCCTCTCTCTTTCTCTTTCTCCCTCTCTTCTCTCTTCTCCTCTCTTTCTCTCTCTCTCCCTCTCTCTCCCTCTCTCCCTCTCTCCTCTCTCTCCCTCTCTCCTCTCTCTCCCTCTTTCTCCTCTCTCTCCCTCTCTCCTCTCTCTCCCTCTTTCTCCTCTCTCTTTCTCCCTCTCTCCTCTTTCTCCCTCTCTCCTCTTTCTCCTCTTTCTCCCTCTCTCTCCCTTTCTCCTTTCTCCCTCTCCATCTCTCCTTTCTCACCCTCTCTACCTCCCCCCACCCTGTCTTTCTCCCTCTCTCTTTTTCTCTCTCCCACCCCCTTGTTATTGTTAATAATCCCTGGCTGTTTTAACTTTCAGATCATCTCCCAGGATGAAGCAGACAGACGTGGCAAAGTATATGACAAGTACATGTGCAGCTTTCTCTTCAACTTGAATAATGGTCTGTATTTCATTTCTATTTCATGAAAATTATCTTCTTTGGCAGAGTCAAAAACAAAAAGAAAACAACTCCATCTTAACTGTAGGTTCAGACAAGGCGATTCCTTTTAACCTTTGTCACTTCATTTGCTGTACAAAAAGTTTATCCTCCCACTGAAAGTGGCTCTGACCCCTGAATTTGAATTTATTTAAATTTCATAGTTGTGTTGCCATATCCTGCTATGGCAACAAAACACACTTTCGAGTGAAATTAACAATAAGGATATTGCAATTGAAAGGCCCTGAAAAAAGAATGCTGAGGAAAGGGAAGGAATATTAATAATGCTAAAGGTTAATTAATATTCATTGTTGCCCAATAAAGAAAGCATCTCAATACAAACACAACTTATATAGATATGCCCACACACTTGATCATCATAAACTGTCAACTTTTAGAAATTCCATGGTGGTTTTTAAATGGCACGCCCAAAAGAAAAACATCTAATTGATTAGAAATGCATCAGACAATATCTAAATTATCGACTGCAATTATTTTTGTGGCTGACACTTAAAATCAGGTGTACCTATTTAAGAAAAACTGTTGTTTAGTGAGGATTGGGGAGATAATTAATGAGATTTCCCATGTTTACTTAAATGTATGACTTTTTACTCCCACGTGCAAATCCTTTCCATGAATTGTTTGGCTTGCGACAATATCCCATTGAAATACTGGTTCTTGAAGTTAAGCAACATTGTGCCTGGTTGGATAACAGCCTGGAATTGGAGATCAGAATGTCGAGTTCCAGTTTGGTTCCTTACACATAAATACCCTTAGGAAAGGCATAATCCACCTTTTCTCCCTTCAGCTATAGGTTAATTATTAGGACTTTTATCAATAAATCATTATCTCCCAAAATATTTCTTATCATCTAAAAATATTTTCTGGCTTAACCTTTAGCACTCTGCCTTATTAATATTACTTCCCTTCACACTGCATTCTTTGTCAAGGTCTCTCAATTGCAATATCCTTATTGTTAATTTCACTCCAAGTTGTTTTCTGTTGCTATAGCAGGTTATGACGATAACACAACTATGAAATTCAAACACACTATTGTTCAGGAATCAGTCACCTTCAGTAGCAGGATAAACCTTTGTGCAGCAAAACGAGTATTATACAGAATAATAAAGGTTAAATAACCTGCAAAAGGTTGATAAGCCATAAAAAAAAAAACAATTATTATGAATTGTCTGGCTAAAAATACTTTTTCAAACTCATCAAATAATTGCTGCTTGTTTAATTGCTTCTGTGATTGTCCCCACCACCACCACCAATCAATTTGTCATCCATAAAAGAAATTTTTTTATTCACAATAGAAGCCTTATTTTTTCTTTATATTTTTAATTACTAGAATCGTAAATAGCACTTTGCAAAGCTTTTGAATTATCTTGATCTGTAATAATCAAAATAACATATCTCTTTCCAACCCAGAGTTCAAAAACATTTACGATTTCTTGTAGGCAAATAATGATTTACCACCCCTACAAGCCCTTGCTCACAGATGCAACATTGCAAGCCTCCCGCTACTCTATTGCTATTTCAATTGAAAATGTTCTGATTAGCTACATTCATTAGTTCCACCAGTTCAGAACATTTACCATGCCACATACACAGGGTTGAATCGTCCATGTTCCTCTTATATTGATAAGAAGGAAGTTCCATTTGGACAGCTTCTACTTCCTCTCTGAATTTCTGAGATGAGAAGTTATCATTATTTAACACTATTTATATTCTGACTATTATCTTTGTTGTTGTTATCACAATACTTTGGCTGTTGTGCTCTTCAGAGACTTCCTCAGGTGTATATCGATCTGAGTAATCTACAGGGAATTCTGAACTGAAACCTTTATTTAATCTACAGGGATAGACTGTCCTTGTTCCACTGCCCATGTAAAAGCTATTCTCAGTGGAGCGAGAACAGCTTCTACTTTGTGGAAGAGACTCCCAAGAGGATGCTTCCCCAATCACTAACATCTTTTTGAACTGTAATAATCAAAATGACATATCTGGACTGTCATATCCTCTCTTTCCAACAGAGTTACAATTTCTTATAGGCAATAAATTATTTACCACCTGTACAAGCCTTCACTCACAGATGCAACATCGCAAGCCACCTGCCATGCTGTTGCTCTTTAAATTGAAAACATTCTGATTAGCTACATTCTTTATTTCCACCTTGAAATAGGTTTCTCAAGTGCAGTAGCTGTTATTGCTCTTTCCAGTATTGATAGGAGTTTTATTCCTAACCTTTTCTTTGAAGTAGTGTGGAATGTCAACATCTTAATTATGTTATAGGTGTACTGCATCTGTCTCGACTCTCTGTTAGTACAGTAGGGTACTGTGGGTTTTCAAGCACCCCAATTAAAATATTATAGATATATCTCTGTCTATAGTTTTGACGAGGTATTGTAATTATTTACACTATTTACATTGTTTGGACAGTTGTCCTCATCTTTGTCGCTATATTCACAACGTTTTGACCGTTGTACACTCCAGCCTTCTTCGGGTGATTAGAATTTCAAACTGAACCCTTTATTCCATCCACCTGGGTAGATCGCTCTAGTTCCGCATGCCATGCCTCTCCTGGATATCTCAGAATCAGTTTTCGCCCTTTTAACTCAACTCTCCAAGTATTTTGTTCACCAATGCTGTAGCCAGGTATTGAACTCTCAACTCTTTGTTATCCACTGATTGATTGACATATATATAAAGTGAACATAGAAGTCAATACTTAGAGGCGACAGTCTGTTTTAGGCTAGACGATCGTGGCCTGACGATTACATCTAGCATGAAACACCTGGAATGGTAGCAAGTTCACATTTGTCACTTCTTAATAAATCTTTCACATAGTCCAACTTATGGCATCCAAAACAAATAAACTACGTTTGCGAGTATTGGGACATCATCCCCACACAAGTCTAAGACATTCTTTCATGCTGGATTCAGCCATCCAGCCTTTCTTGTGGACTCAAACTTTCCAAAAGGCATAATTGTTAAACTTTGATAATGTCTTTCACTTGGCAATAACATATGGTGGCAATTTTGTTATGTCTCCCAAGCATGCTAGCATCACAGTAAATCTATTCTTTTCATTTCCAGTTGTTCTTTATTCTTTATTTTTGTGTTACTGTTGTGTCATACAGCAAATGAAATGTTAATGGGGTCTGGTCTGCATTCTTGATGTGCAATGGTTCAATATTATATTTTCTTCTGGCTTTGATAATATAACCCTGAAAGTTTGTCAACTTTTCCATGTAATCCTCAGGAAGTCTTGTGCAATTGTTCTATGCCATAATCAAGCCATAAAGGTTCATAAAACTGTAGCACCAGTTTAACAAAACTTAAGTCCTCACTATCAGCACTATATTTGACTGACTAGCACATAATCTTATCTCGGTGATGCTTACACAAAACCTCATCACATTCGGCACATATCCAAAAATAAAGTTCAGTCTCTAACTCAAGGAATTTTTCAGGTTTACCTCCTATTGGTACATTAGTAGGTACAGTTTTAAGTTTGTCGTACTGTTTATACCAATTTCAGACATTGGTGTCATTAATATTAAAATATCTCCTGGCAAGTCTATTGCCATTTTCAAATGCATATTCAACAATATTTAATTTCTTCTTCACAGTAAATGAATCATAAGTTCTACCCATACTGACAATAACGGTAATGACACATTTTTAATTTTGCTTGAAATTCTATAAGTCTGAAAGGGGTTGAAATTTTAATCCATATCAAAGGTTCTGACAAGAATAGGCAGAAAATCAGAGCTTGGGACAAGAAGATGCTCTTGATCAATCAGAATCCTGTTTACATAATCAGTTTGGTTGATCACCTCCCTCTGTCTGTTGCGTAAAGTGTTATCCAAGCTAATGTTTATTGGTAATTAAACTTAATTCGCAACACCTGTATTTATTTATCAGCTTTGTTTTTGTTGATAATTCTTATCAACGTTTCCTGTGATTGTGATTTGAGAAAACATACAGCAGTATGCTAAAGATCAGACATAATCTCCTTGTCAGCAAGAAATGTAAAATAAAGTTTATTATAAACAACACACTTTGTAATTTAATATCTTTTAATGTGACACTTACATGTTAAACAGAAATTATTTTTATTTAATGAAAATTTAATAAAATCTAATTACAATGAAATTTTATGAAATTTTCATTAGTGAAATTATGCTAAATCATAAATTGAAAACTCCCCCCCACCCAGGCCATATCAGCAATTCTCAGAATTTTGGGTGCAAATTTTACATGAGTAGAAGTTTTTTTTTTTTTGTTTTTTTTTTAATTTATCCTGAAAATCCCCTGCACTAATTACATGAGTTTTAATGGTTTATGATCAATCTAACTTTCAACATAAATTTCAACATTTTTTTTTTTTTTCACTTTCCAAATGATGAACAAAAAGGTTATTTGTGAGGTTTTCAGACCACAGCTGTTTGAGGTTTCCTACAGACCCACTGAACTTAAATAAAGTCAATTCAGGTTTCCTATGGTAAAAATTTTCTTTCCCAAGTGAAAATCATCACAAAAATAGCAAAAGTCATTTTGTCACAGCTTATTTTCTCTCAAAATATGGGTTTTCATACTTTTTTAGGGGTAAAATATTGAAAAATGACTGTTTTATCATCACCTAAACGAATATCAAGGAAACTTTTGATCTGAACCCCATGAAACTAGGTATTTTCTGAAAGCAAAAGATATATTCTTTCATTTAAAAAGTAAAATTAGCTGGTGTAAATGACTCAAAAATTTTTTTCATTGGGTAAAATGTGAAAAAAATAGTGAAAATTTTGCATTTTTTCTTGTTCTAAACAAATATTTCCCCCCATTAATGGGAAATTAACCATTTTTTTTTTTTTTTTTTTTTTTTTTTTTGAAAGCCTAGATCATAATCAAACTATTTCAGGCATAAAATTGAGAGTTTTGAAGGAAATCAACATTCGAGGGTTCAAAAATGCGACAAAATCCATTGTTAATTTTCAATTATGACTGCCAAGGGTTAAAAAAATTGACACCTATTACGGAAATCTTTAGTAAAAGGCAAGAGATTTATCTGCAATTCCTAACCACCAGAAACCAAAAGTTTTTTTTTTTTTTAAAAAAATAGTGATAAGGGAAAATAAACCTAATTGACTTTGACGTCAAAAGCTAGCCAGCCAAAGCCAACCAGCTAGCCAGCCAGCCAGCTAGCAATAAACGGACGGCAAACCTTAGAACAAGTTGTAATAAAACCCACCACTCCCAGATAAAAAGCAAAGGGTGAATAAAAAAAGGTTCACAATTACTAGGGCTTCATATAACCTATGTTTGAACAATGGCTTGATAAGTTTTGTTTTGTTTTTAACACCCGTGACCGGGTGATGACAACAACACTTAGCAGACAACATTGTTTTTTTTCGCCGTATATATTTTGTATTTCCCATCGTCGGTCCATTTAGCCTTTCTTTTATTCAATGATGTTCATGCCAAATGAAAGAGAAAGGAATGAATTTTGAATGATGTTATTTTGAAGGGAAAATGAATATTTTTCATTAAAAAAGGGGATTTTCTCAGAAAATTGTGCATAATTTCTTAATGCTAACCGCCCGAGTGACATTTTCCACAGCCAAATCGAAGATTAATTACCAGTGAATAATTCCATGTGCAAAAATAGCCGTCTGGATCCTATAAGGTCGCCCTAAAAGGTCCAGAAGTTTACTAATTGATCGAAAACCTGTTGCGCATAATTGTATTTTTCACGGTCAGTTTCCATTATTTCATCTTGATATTATCATTTTCGGACAGCCAAGTCATCAAGATTCAGGAAAACACTTTGACATAGGTTTTCTTTAAGAACTTTACATTCTATGAGGTGTTTAAAATGTTACTGACGAATGAGATTTTTTGCCGCATATTTCGTTTACGCGCCATGTTGGATTTTCCTATATGACAAAAACAAGGGTTTTAAACAGCTGTGAGACGTTTCTACCACAATTATTATTATTATTACTGAAAATGTTTACAGTCATCTGCTTATAATTCACACAAACATGATTAAAACCAGAAACTGCTTGTACAGTCTGATCTCTTTAATCTGGCAATTCCCATGGTCTAGTACTTTTTAGTTTGTTTGATTTCAGTATAATCTTTTAAAACAATTTATGATGAATTTGATGCATTCTCAATTGTTTTATTTTTTTATTTTAATTTTTTCATGTTCCAAGCAATGTCCAAGAAGGTTATTTGTAATCTTTGCAGACATTTCAACCGCAATTATTATGGACAGTCTTTACTTTAAAGTTACATGCTTGTAATTCACACAAATATTATGAGTCAAAAACCAGAAACTCCTTTTCATTACTTAACAGAGGTCTTCAGAAAGCTGGTTGAGTAACAATGAAAATTTGTCTTGCCACTTGCTAAATGTTAAAGAAAGCATTTCATTGAATATTCGAACACCTCATGGTAATAACAGAAAGTTAAAAATATTTTTCCAATTATTATTTTAATATGTAGTAATTCCAGGAGATCAGTTTATTACTTAATAACAATAGAAAACCGAGCCCCCATTTTAAGTTCAGTAGAATCTTATATTAATACTGGCCTAAGGTCTATAATATGACTAAAACCAAAAACTCCTTTCAGTCACATGGGAAAGGTATTCAGAAAGCTATTTGACTAATTATGAAGATATAACATGCTATTTATTAAGTAAAGGTATTTTGTTGAGTGCCCAAGCACCCCACACTGTTAATGGAGGATTAATCAATGAATTTTCTATTTACTATCTACTTTTTTCTTTCCTTCCCCCCACCTTTTTTTTTAAAATACTTTGCATTATGTAGAAAGAACCTGTATACTTGAAATTGATTTGTCAATTGTAACGGTTGGGATAAATGATGTAAGGGACGTAACTCTTTACTTTGGCTAACACTAAAAAAATTCATTAGATTTATAGCCATAGAAAATATTTAGGAAATTTATTGAAATTAACAAATATAATTCTTTAGTAATTTCTATAATTATTTAATTGTAGTTCCACTTGAATTTTTGAGACTGACTTTTAATTCTTTTATCTTTATAACATTATGCAAGAAATTCAAACAAGAATATTCTGAATTCAGACGTGTGTGTCCTGCATCCCTGGCATATAAAAATCTTAAAGGACACAGTAACTTTCCCATCTGTGCATCCCAGGGACACAACTAAAGTTTCTCATGAAAATGATACATTGCATCAAAACCAACCTATAAAAGTTATGACATAGTATTGGCCAACAACAAATTCCTTTTACTAAGTAAATAACGACATCAGTTTAATTTAAAATGTAACTAATATATTCTTTCTGTAACTGAATACTAATCATTTGTCAAATGAAGTAAATATTGATGGTAATTAGTACATAGAATTTTCTGTTTTTATTTTAAACATTTTGTATTTTTATTGTTAACATACTTTTTAAAATTATAAGTGCTAAACATTTTAAATAACAAGTGGAAACATTTCTATTTAGCATGCAGTTCACTGTTTAAATAACATTTAACAGGACGCAAAAAATGACATCAGACAAAAACATTTTCTGCATGAGTTGGTACAGACTGTAGAGAGGCAAATAGGATTTTAAATAATAAATATCACATTAGTTATTTGATGTTAGTCTTTTGAATACTTTTTATTTGTTCTTCCTTTCTTCTTTTTTTCACTTACTATTTCCTTTCTCTTTCCTTCCTTCCTTCCTTTTTGCCCTTTCTCTTTCCTTCCTTCCTTTTTGCCCTTTCTCTTTCCTTCCTTCCACTCCACATTTCATTTGTGACTACTGCTTCGAAATTGCTCTATGGATCACTAAAATATTACGGTGAACCCTCAATCTTCCATGTTTTTAGTGTGGACCCCCAGTAATGTTACATGGACACCTTCGGTCCATACAGACACCAGTTGAGAACCACTGATTTAAGTGATTTGGTATGACAAATTGCTTTCTTTGGGATGATGAACAAAACAATTTAGTCTGTAGCCCTGCAGTTTAATAGAACAATTTATTAAGAAACTTTAGTTGGGACCCATTGAATTTCTTAAGGACCCACCCAAATCACTACCTGTGGATATTATAAACCTATCAGGATCACTGTTAAATATTTTTTTTTTCCAGTAACCATGTCCATCATCTGAAATCTGCATTGATTCTTGATATTTACTAATCATCAATTGTATTTTTTCTTGAAAACCCATTTCAGATTTTGTTGTTGATGCAACAAGGAAAGGAAATAAGATCCGCTTTGCAAACCACTCAATCAACCCTAACTGCTACGCCAAAGTCATGATGGTCAATGGGGACCATCGTATTGGTATATTTGCCAAAAGACCTATTCAGGCTGGAGAGGAGCTATTTTTTGACTACAGGTAATAATCATTTGTGTTTCTAATCATTGATATTCCTTTCTATAGAAAGTCGTTTCAAATTACTGGCTTGTATGACAAGACAAGATATTTTGCTGGTATTTCCATCTAAGCATCCTAATTATAACAGCTTTGATATTCAATGTATTAAATATGTCAAACTAAAAAAAAAAAAAAGAGAGGAAGAAGAAAGATGAAAGGCTATTTTAACACCTATTGGTGTATGGTGGCAGTTTTGGCTTTTCTCATTACAATCCACTGTCTTTGCAAATATCCCTTTTTTTTTTTTTCAATTTAATTTCAGTCATTTAAATATTTTTAGCAGTAGAAAAAAAATTGGATTAACTTTAAATTCAGAGTTGTCTCTTTTGTCAACTTGTTCCGACCCGAGGCTCAAGAGCCTAGCATAAACTGCTACTTATAACTTTTAGAAGAGATTGCTTCTTGCCTTTCTGATAGACAATAGTATAAAGGTGAATATAATAGGCTTGTACAGAATTTGAACCTTGAGAGTGAATATAATAGGCTTGGACAGAATTTGAGCCCTGGGATTGAATATAATAGGCTTGGACACTAAGTGCCTGCACCTTTTCTTATCATTGTTATTATCTGGAATGGCTTTGAGTAAGCTTTGCTACCCAATTTGTATGTGACACACTAAAAATTTGGTAAGCAGGGAATTGCTAACCATCAAGAATTAATACCATCTTGTTTTCCTCACTCACATGGAAAAAAAAAAAGAAGCACCTTTTGATATTTGAACTTGCTGTTAATGCTCTAGAAGTCCAGCTCTAACATTTTCCCAGAATTGATTATTATTACAAGGCTGTTTTTAAAGTGTTCATTTTATTGTGTAGACATTCCTAAAGAAAAAAATCCCTGTGCTAGTTTCAAGGTTCCTGCAAACTCCTCAAGTGTATCCAAGACAGTGGAAAGAACCACACCTGATGTCTGATAAGTAAACAAAAAGACCTGCTTGTCATTTATGATATATAATGCAACCTGTTATACGTGACAAGTCAGTTTTTCTTGCAAGACATCTCTCATGGCTTGATCCATCATTTCATAAGGAGTTTGCAGGAATTTAAAAACCAGCACAGCCACGCCAACTCTTACCTTAAGTGATATGTCAGTGTTTTTTTTCTGCGTCTATAATAACACCTATATCAACCAAGGTGAGAGCATTTGTTTAAAATATAAATGATTTAAAAAGAATGTAAATACAGTGCAGCCTTGGTTCTTGAATGTCTCACATGTCAAAGAAATTGGTTTTTGAACAGAATATTCAAAATGAAAATATCTCAGTTAACAACGTTGCCGAACCGAGTTAACCCAAACGGAATCATTTCTTAGTCGACCAATATGTTGTATACATTCATGTGCTGTGCTTTTCTTTTCTAATTTTATTGTACTGTGATTTTTTTCTCTTTATTAGTTCTCAGTCATGGCTCCAAAGAAAGCTAGCAGTGATATTGGTAAAGGAAAGAGAAAAGTTAAGAGAAAAACAATTGTTGATGATATTTTCTCTTTCTACTCAGTTTCATATGGCAAAATCAATGATCTATATACTATTCTTATAAATAAAGAGACAATCATGTCTTTCCTTCACTTTTCCAAACAATAACATCTCTTTCCTTCCCCCCCCGCACTTATGCCATCAACTCTGCTATTTACAGGTACAGTAAAATTAAAGTGTCCGTCTATATTTTATCTGTTTAGTATTGGATTTATTTATTTTTTCTTGGATTTAATGATTTTCATTAGTTTTGTGTATAAAATTGTGCACAATTTACTGTTAATGTTTAAATAAGCAATCAATTTGGGATCAGGAACGGATTAATCCATTTTACAGTGATTCATATTGGAGAAATAGTTTCAGTTTACAAAAATTTCAGTTTATGAACGGGATTCAGGAATTAATTAAATTCGTGAATCGAGGTTCCACTGTAGTTTAAAAATATAAATGGTTTATTTCAATGTATTTCCTACATACAAATTTAATTTGTTAATAGATGTTTTTAAATGTTATTAACTTGAAATTTCTCAAACTAACCACTGTTTTTAAATAACAGGTTTGCCACGGTAGCAATTTTTTCCCATCAATAATTGTTAACCGAGTAAAAAGTCAACAAGAAACTTAAGAAAAAAAAAAAAACATCCACCTGATTTTCAGGTATTATTTTTCTATCACACCCTGTTGTTCAAAATAGCCAAGAGTTAAGAAGGCAGTAGTTAGAGATTATCTAAGAAACAGGTAGAGAGAACAAAGAACTTTTTTAAATACTCGTACATAGAAGGGAAAAACTTGGGCACATCAATGTCATATAATGGTTAGCAAGCTTATCTTGCTAGAGCAATTACAACTAAGTGAGTTCAATCCTCACTGGGTGCCTCATACTCTCAGACTTGTGCTACATTTAAGCTACACTTTGAAAATTGCTATAGAATAAATAAACTTGACTATATCAACTACTACTCAAAATCCTACTCTAATGTGGCTACTTGATATATTTCTAAGTAGGAACGGTCCATTTTCACAGTAGTAGGGAAGAGCAGGAAGTATGTTGAGTCCTACTCTACAACACACCTGTTGCATTGCTATTATTTTATGCTCTTTAAGCAGTCAGATGGCCAGTGACGGTGAATTGATCATATACATTATGTCAATAAAGGAGATGGGTGTAATAGGAAAAATTTACTGATTTTTGGAAATTTCAAAATCAATCATTTACTATAAGAGACTTGTTTAATATTTAAACTTTTCTTTATGAATCATGAAGTAATTTTATATATATATATATATATATATATATATATAATGTTGCATAAAAAGTAACACCCCTTTTATTTAACTTTTACTGAACAAAAATAAAATACTGCAGTTTTAAGAAAATTTCTAAGTACTGGAAAAACCCTTGAAAATTTCAGTTTTCCTATTTTAATATTCTGATGAATCTTAATTCTTAATTTAATGATTGAATAAACTGATGGCAAGTTCTTCAACAATAAAATATTCATAGAAATTACCCTATCACATTGTTATTGGAATATTTTGTTAAAGTTGTTAAGCTCAAATATATAACAATCATAAATATGAATACTAGTCGTTATTTGAAGAAGTAAGGGGGTACAAATGAAAAGATTTGAAATTGACAACTTTTCCATTTCACTGAAGCAAAATTAAACGCTTGTATATTCCCTGCTTTCATTTTAATTTTCTCACTGAGTAGCATCTCTGATATGTCATTTTCATGTTTTCAGAGATCAGAATGGAATAGTCTATTATTTATGGGGTATTGGCCAGGGGTAATGGATGTGCGAAGTAAGGAACTAATGAAAGAAGGGAGGGAGAAACAGAATTATAATAAGGATTGTTGCATCAAAACCAGATGATTTGTTATGATTAACAAAATATTTAATGTGTTCAAAATGCTCTTCATGTTCAATACAATGCTAAACCCTATCAGCAACTCTTCTAAAAACCATTTGACACATTTCTACATTAATTTCCAAAAAAATCTATCAGAAATTGCTTGTTTTAATTCAGGAACTGTTTTCACTTTGAGTTTGTAAACATGATCTGTCAGCCGACTCCCAAGAAAAAGTCTGGCGGTGTTAGGTCTATTGATTGTGATGGCCACTCAATTGTTCCCCGTCATCCCCTCCACCTCAAAATTAAGATTTAGCTCTTCCCAAATGCATAAGCCATAATTAATCTTAAGCCACCTTAAACTAATGTAATTTTTTTTTTTTCATAAAAGTTAATTGAAAAAGTATTACTTTTGCTGTACACTCTGTATGTGTTTAGATCATTATATACAGGGTGTGATGGATAAATTGTCATGTAAATGAAACGAAAATGAAAATAATACTGACATTTCATTTTAACAGATATATTTACTAAAATTACACAAAACTATCTTCAAATACTAAAAAGTAAATTTAATCAATAAAATTGCCATTGGCTTCAACCACGGCTTGCAGACGACTTCAGAATCTCCTGTAACTCTTCTGGACGGTCTCCTTGTTTAATTTGGTGAAAGCTGCTATAATCTTTGCTTTTAGTTATTACACACCTAATAATAAAGGGGGTTACAAGTCTGGGGAGTTAGGTGGCCAGATGTAAGGGGGTGATGTGGTCACAGACATAGTCTGACAACCATGGCTGGGTTCTCCTGCTTGTGTGGCATGGTGCAGAGTCCTGTTGCCATACATAGGGTCTTCAGTA